ACAGTACAGTTTCACCACAAGTTATATTCACCCATCACAAACACAAATTCTCTTCTCCAGTAATCTCCTTTGTGCAAGAATGTAGAAGACAGAGAGTAAGTCTTTAAGGGGTCTAGAGAGGCAGGGTTTCATAACCACCTCTTCTCTAACCATACAAAGCCCAGATTTATCTCAAGTTATACAGTTACAATAGCTGACATGCTTATTTTTCTGTGATTTTCTTTTCTTTCTTTGCTGTGGCAGAGATTGAACCCAGGGCAACATGCATGCTAGGCAAGCACTGTACCATTGAGCTATGGATACCCTTGGTCCCTCTGCGACTTACTTTCTTTCTATCTTTCTTTCTCTTTCTCTTTTATGATGGAGGCAGAGAGAGAGACAAAGAGAGAGGCAGACAGACAGAAGGTTTTGCTTTATTTATTTATTTTGGTGGTGCTGGGGTTTGAACTCAGAGTTCCTGGCTTACTAGGTAAGTGCTCTACCACTTCAGTCACATCTTCAGCTCTGTAACTTTCTGAATGGACAGAAACCAAAGTAGGAAGTAGTATAAAAATGCCCAGGTAAGCCAGGTGTGGGGTTCATGCCTGTAATCCCAGCACTTAGGAGGCTGAGGCAGAAGGATTACAAGTTCAAAGCTAACCTGGGCTACATAGCAGAACCCTGCCTCAAAAAAAAGAAAAAGGTCAGGTAAAGTTTTTAATAAGTCTAAAAGTAGAAAAAATTTTAAATAAACAAAAGGGGAAAGGGCAAATCCACACGCGTGTGAACAATATTTCTATTACTGTTCATCTTCGATTTCATCCACAGACCTTAGAAATGGTGTCTGAAGGTCTCTGTGAGTGTTTAATAAAACAGAAAACTCATGAAGAATATCAGAGAAATAAGATTATAAATTTACTGATGCATACGTATTAGAATCTATATTTACCATTTGCACAAACAGCAAATTCTCCAATTATTTTTCCACAAAGTCATTCTGAAACCTTTGCATGCACAGTATACACACAAAAGATTGGAAACACGAAGACAGCTACATACAAAGTGCGTGTCTGCAGACTCTCCGTAACAGTCTAAGTAGAAGGACCTTTGAAACACGCGTGTCACCCAGCACTAGTGCCACACTAGGCAGTGAGCACAGAAGTAAGAGGGGACCCCTCTGCTCAAGACTGGATAAAGTCCAGTTCAAAATGCTTCGTGCATTCTGCTTCAAGGAGCTGAAAAATCCTAGCTAAGGACTTCTTAAGTCTGAGCTGATCTAAAAAACAAACACAAAAACCAACTTTTAAAAAGACAGGACTCATTTAGCAAACAATCCAGTTGACAAAGAGGCAAAAGATACAAGTAGAAATTTCACTTAAGACAATAAACTGATGGCAAAAAAAACAAAGAGAATAAGTAAATAAATAAAGAACCCAGAAGGGCTGGCAGAGTGGCTCAAGTAGTAAAGCACCTGCTCAGCAAGCTTAAGGCTCTGAGTTCAAACTCCAGAGCCATGAAAAAAAACAGAACCCAGATGGCAAAAAGCACATGAAAAGATATTCAACATCATTACTAATTAGGGAAATGCAAATTAAAGCCTCAGTGAGCTATCACTACCTACCTATAAGGATGGCTGAAACAAAAAACAATGACAACACCAAATGCTGGTGGTTTAAGTGTGTAGAAACTGAGTCACACACAGTGCTGGTGGGAATGTAAAATGGTACACTCTGGAAAAGAGTTATAAAGTTCTCTCTCTCTCTCTCTCCCTTCTCTCTCCCTGTCTTTCCCTTGCTGGGCTTGGACATGCTAGGCAAGTGCTCTACCCTGAGCCACACCACCAGCCCAACACTCATTTAAAATGGAGTCCCTATAGCATCATTTTTCTGAGCAATACAGATATCTATCTAGACATAGATATTTTATAAGAAACCAATATTTCTTATAGAAATAGAATAAAAGAGAATTTCAGAAATATATCCTCTCCATATCCAAATCATTCCCGCATTCCTCTAGGGCCAATGACAATACAGTGACAGAATAGCCCATGAGTCAGAAAAGATGCTGGTGCCAAAATCCCTACGGCTCAGGGCTTCTAAAACTTAAAAAAAAAAAAAAAATGAACATGATTCTGGATCCCCTATTCGACTTTTTTGGGGCTACCCATTTTGGCTGGTTTGAACCAGGTGACCTGGTTTTGAGTATCTGAGAAGATACTGGGATCTGGCATGTCTAAGGGTCCCAGGTGTGCTTGGAACTTGTCACTCATACATGAAAAACACGATCCAAATTTCCGAAAAGGACTCAGAATCCTTTAGGGTTGGTTCCGGCCTTCTAGACATTCACTAGGATGACTCTGTAATCACTTAAAGCTTAATCACTTAAATTCTTCTCTCCTCGAAGAATTATAAAAGTCTTGCTGACCCGTTTTGAAGACTGGTCCTCAGTATAATTGCCCTGAAACACGTGGCTACTTCTGAACTTCCTTCTCTCTAGCACCAGAGTGTTTGGCACCCTTCAGATTCACTCAAACATATAAAATCTGTGCACAGCAAGGCTTCAATTGCACCTTAAGAAGTTCACATGGCTGGAGGCACAGCTCAGTGTAGAGCACGCTTAGGATGCAGGCGGCCCCGGGTGAGTGGATGCATTTCTGGACATAGACACATGAAGATGTGTAAGTGAACAGCAGGATTCCAGCTCATGGTGATGCACTCATCCCGCAAACATGGAGGCCCAGGGTTCAGCTCGGGGAAGCAGACATGCTCTGGACGGGGTGTGGGGCTCCCTGGCTTTGTGTGGAGATGAAAGGGAAGCGAAACAGCGGATCAAATCTCAGAGGAGCTGCAGAACGCATTAATCCTGTGCTGAAGACAAACGTGGGCTAATTAAGACACAAGACTGCAGAGGTGAGGCTGGGAGGATAAAAACACTAGGACTGGGAGTGGGGCTGGGGCACCGCACTTGCCCAGCAGGCTCAAGGTTTGATCCCCAGGCGGGGCAGAGGAACTTTTTGCTCCTAACAAGTAGGAGGACCCTACTGGTAGCTAGAGGGTAGAGGTCAAGATACTGCTAAACCTTCCATCAGGTACAGAAGTGCTGTCCAGTCCAAAATGTCGGTAATACAGAGACAGAGAGAGCGCATCGGGGGTTGCGGATAAAGCAGTTGCACCACTGAGATGCGCCCTGAGAGAACATTCTCCTTACCCACATTGCTGGAGGCCTCCTAAAAATACCTGACAGATCCACGATGCGAAAATAAAACGTGTTGACGGATAGTAGCACAATTATTGAAAATTTCAAATGCTGGCATACAAAGGACAAGTGAACACGACAGATGGGAAGGGCAACTGAGGAGCACTGTCGACTCTTTCTACAATCACAAGAGCAAAGGTCAACGCAGCTCTGATTTCAGTTAAATGACAAAGATGGACTAAACTGTGTCACTAAAAACGCCACAAATACCAAAAATAAAAGATTGGGGCTGACTGCGTGGCTCAAGTGGTAAAGCGCCTGCCTAGCAAGCGTGAGGTCCCGAGTTCAAACCCCAGTGCTGTCAAAAAGAAAGAAAGAACAAAACAAGTAAGATATTGTTTACATCAGGAGATGACTTCTAATGGTAAACAAAAACACCTCTGTTCAACAAAGAACATTTTAAAATCTCTGCAGAGTTAATGATACTATGTAGTTAATATATTTGCTACAATGCCTCCACCAAAAATGATTTTAACAGCTGAAGACGACACTTGAAGTTCACTGAAGTAGAATTTCCAGACAATTTAACTGCTACTTCTATCCTATCTGACTCCAAAATGGACAGATGACAGTGACAGTAAGAGGCCCTGTGACAGTCCCTCCTGTAGCTGGGTAATTATGTAACAGCTAGTCCTACAATGTAGGCCTTTGTGACAAATCTGGACCATGAGGGAAATTCACTGGAGTCCCCACATGGAGGGAAGTTAGTAACCAGAGAACAGGCTGCAGCCAGTCCACCCTGCCTACAGCTGCACCCAGCTGCTGCTTCTTACCACTCTTAGTCCTCCACATTGTCTCCAGCTGTACAGGGTCAGAATGTGAGGTGTCCCTGCTCATCACCGTGGGTCTCGGGGGGTGACCCTGGGGCCATAGTTAGCATTGGCATCCTTCGTTTTTATCAGCTGGCCTCTGCATGCATCTCAAGAGAAGAGCAGACTGAACAAACATCAAAAAGACACACAGACAGTAAAGTAACTCCCAGAAGGCAGTTTTTAAGTTCCCAGTAAACTGAGGCCCTCCCTTCAAGTTCTGTCAAGGAGGCACTTATGCAAACACCTGACAACAGCAAGATAAAGAACAGGAAAAAGAAAGGCAAGATTTGATAGCTACCTTCATATTGTATTTGGACACCAGTTTTTGAAAGAAAAAAAAAATACTAACTGATTTTTTTTCCAGCAGGTACATGGAACCCAGGACTCTGTTCCTTCTAAGAGCTGCTTTTTGAGAAGGAAACCAAATGTATTTTTCCATTTTCAAGAATCGGTATCAGCTGAGCATGGTGCTTTACACCTGTAATACCAGCACTTGGGAGGCTGAGGCAGCAGAGTGAGGAGTTCAAGGCCAGCCTAGGCTACATAGTAACACCTTGTCTCAAAGAAACCAAAAAAAGGAAAAAGAAAAATATCCTTTTTTTTTTTTCAAATCCTTTTACAGGATCTCACTATGTAGCCCAGGCTAACCTCAAACACTCCATCTTCCTCCTGAGTGCTGGGATTACAGATGTGTGTCATGATACCCAGCTACAATTTTCTTTTAGAAAAGAAAAACTAAAACTAGCTTTTCAACACATAAAGAATACTCAGATTTTGGTTAAACAAGTTAGAATTAAGGTAGTCTTTATGCCCAAGAAAGAAAAGCACTGACTAACAAATAAGTGTATCTGAGATAGACATATTGAGTTCAGATTTGGATACAATATTGAAAAAATTATGGCTTTCCACATAAAATATTAATGTTTTGAAATTCCACATTTTCCCAGTGATTTCAAAGAATTAAAGCAACACATACTTTTGAAACAAAACGTGATTCGTGCTTCACCCAGAAATAAGTTTTTAGAGGATGAACAATTATGTTCTCTGAGTCACTGACCCCGGATAAAAAGAGAACCGCCACTGTGAAAATACAGCTGTAAATGGCTAGGGTCCTTAGAATTTGCTAGAAAACAGAAGACAAAGTTGTGAGTTATTCTGCCTTAAAATTTTACCAAGATTTGGATTTAAAAGTAAGTTTCTTGTTGTTAGTTTTTTGAAAGAGCAGCCACTGTTTCTCTGGGATGGTAACACTCCCCGGATTGCCTGTCAGCTGGGCTGGCCTCGGGGAGGCCTGCAGGCTCCTGGGCAGCCATGGAGGGTGCGGGCATGGTGTGGTGTGGCGTGGCATGGTGTGGCATGGTGTGGCATGGAGCGGAGCTAGGCCTTGTTATACCAGTGCATGGAGCGCTTCACCGCTTTCACCCAGTTCTCCATACTCAGTTCGTACTCTTGCCAGTGCCTCTGTGGCTTGAAAACCACCTCGCTTTGCCTCAGCTTCTGTAGCTCTTCCTTGTCACTCCAAAACCCTGAGGATGAAAACGTGATTCTCAAACTTGAAGGCAAATCTTGAGTCCGTAAAATTTATCCACAAACTTATGGGTAATGTGCCAAGGAAAACGAAAACTGTTTCAAACCCTGGTCTGAAATCATTGTGTTGATTTTCAATTGTGTTAGATTGCCCGTTCCTGGGAATAAATACACCAGGATTTGAATTTCTTCTATTTCTAACTTTCAGCTGTTTAGTTTTTATTTATTTATTTATTTATTTTTGTGGCACTGGGGTTTGAACTCAAGGCCTTCACCTTGAGCCACTCCACCAGACCTTTCTGTGATGGGTTTTTTCGAGATAGAGTCTCTCGAACTATTTGCCTGGGGCTGGCTTCGAACTGTGATCTGATCTCTGCTTCCTGAGCAGCTGGAATTATAGGCATGAGACACTGGTGCCCAGCATTACACCATCAGCTTTGTTTCTGAGTGGCATGGTCCCAAATTGCTTTTTTTGGCGGTTTGAACTCAGGGCCTCATACTTGCCAGGCAGGCACTCTACTACTTGTACCACTTGAGCCACTCCACCAGGCCTTTTTTGTGATGGGTTTTTCAAGATAGGGTGCCAAGAACTATTTGCCCTGGCTGCCTTTGAACCTCGATCCTCCTGACCTCCATATCCCGAGTAACTAGGATTATAGGCGTGAGCCACTGGTGCCTGGCCCATGTTCACTTCTGCATCATCGAATTTCCCTGGAATTCTGCTAAGTCAGTTTAAGCAGAAACCCCAGTCCTGGAGGTCTGGTCACCCTGGGCTGCCTTCAGCAAGAATCCCATTAGGTTGGTTTAGTTAGAATTTCCTCCAAACTCTCATGAGTCCTATCAGCGATTCACCCCGATCCCACCCTGCTCCATGGCCACTATTCCTTGTATCCCTGGTTCGAGACTCTGTCACAGAAATTCCTATGCCTACCCAGTGGTCTCCCTGAATTAGGTTTGCCCTACTGTGTTGGGAGCCATGAGCCGCAATCTGACAAGGTCGCTGTGGCTTTGCAGCATTTCGACAAGGTTGGAACCTGCAGGTGCACCATATCTCTGTCATGGTGGGAAGGAACGCTAAGTGGTTTCCCTTGACTGAAAAGAAGTTTATACTTAGTCAAGGACACTGGCAGTGACAATACTGGCTGGCAAAAACAGAAAGGTTGTAGCTAGGTCAGAGTGTTTTGATGTTTAAGTCTCTTCCTCTTTTGTATAAAGCTTGCTGAAAAAAATAATTTTTTGGTCATCAGCCTGCTGGCCCTCTCAATATGTGTCTTGTCTGTTCATTCTTTCCCTGAGCCCTTTTGGGTCAAGGACCTCTGCAATCCCAGCACTACTGTTCTTTAACAGGTGTCACTGATTGTTTTCTTCACTACTGTCACCCAGAAAGTTTGTACAAAGACCCTACCTTGCTCAGCAAGCAGCTGAGACTTGAATGCCCTCACCAACTAGTCCTCTGACTGAAGGAGTGAAGGAAGGATGGAAAAGGGACAGCCACACACCTGCAGGTCACAGGGGTTTGGGAGCAATCCGCCTGTGTGTGTGAGTGAACCTTACCAGATGCTGAGGCTTCCTGGACCCACAAGGCAATTCTGTGCTTTGCAAGGAAAAATGCTATCATCAAAATGGTTAGCAAGCAAGCTCCCACTTCAGGAAATGCACACATACCAAGAGCAAGGCCAGCCAGAGAAGCTGCTCCTAGGCAGGACATGTCAAAGTGGGCGGGCCTGTCTATCTTCTGATCGATCAAGTCTGATGTCATTTGCATGACGAAGCCATTCTTACAGACTCCTCCATCTGCCCTGCGGGGAGCAAGACACCAGGGAGGTCACAACAGAAGCATCACTGTCCCTTGTGTGTGGGTAACAGATTTTTCTTAGGTCCTTAATTTTATAAATTTAACTTTTTTTTTCCTTGGTTATGGTACTGGGGTTTGAACTCAGGGACTCATGCTTGCTAGGCAGGCGCTCTACCACTTGAATCACTCCGCCAGCCCAAAATTTAACTTGTTTTGGATTGAACATAGGGGTGGAACCTTGCTAAGCAGGTGCTCTATCACTGTGCTACAGCCACAACCACTAAAAGTTTAACTTTATTATTTATTCATTCATTCATTCATTTAGCAATACTGGGGCTTGAACTCAGTGCCTCGTGCTCACAAGGCAGGTGCTCTACCTCTTGAGCCTATGCCTCTGATCCTTTGTGTGTGTTAGTTATTTTTTGAATAGGGTTTATTCTTTTTTGCCCTGGCCAGCCTGGGCCAGGCTTGATCCTCGTAGAGCTGGGATTTTTGCTTCTAATAGAGCTGGGATTACAAGATGAGCCACATCGCCCAGCAAATTTAACTTTTAATTTCAAATGTATCAGTTAGCACTGACCTGATGTCAAAGTGACCTCTAAACATTGTTCCTTATTCCTACCATCAGTTTCCCTACCTGTCCCGTCTGGGTGGGCACCAGTTCAAAATAGGCTAAGTAAAGTAAGCTAAGCCAGCAGAAGAATTCATTTGGACATTATAACCGAGAAAGCCAAGAAACAGATAACTACAATTCAAAAAGGGGATTTTAAAGATTTCTGTAACTCAGGAGTACTAAAATCTCCCCCTCTGCAAATTTCATACTATGTTGTATCTTCCTAAGTCCAAAGTAGGCCTTCCTTTCCTCTATGAATCCTACGGTGGAATTTTCTTGCCAAGGAGCTAGGTGTGAGTTTCTTTTTTTAATTCTTGCAGTACTGAGACTTGAACTCAGGGCCTCACACACTTGCTAGACAGGCATTCTACCACTTGAGCCACTCCCCCAGCCCTGTTTTATGTTGGGTATTTTCGAGATAAAATCTTGCAAACTATTTCCCTGGGGTGCCCTCAAACAACAATCCTCCTGATCTCTGCCTCCCAAGTAGCTAATATTTCAGGCACGAGCCACCGGCACCCTGCATAAGTTCTTGAAATCCTAAAAAGCATAATGGTGAAGACACTACGGCTACCACTTCTCATTTCTGACTGAGTCTGCAGAAGCCAGTGTACCTACCGGATGCTTGTGACAGGAATACGGATCTCTTTCTGCATGAGCTCGTACAACTGCTTGTTTCTGTTGAGAGAGAAGAGGGACGTTCCAAATAAGACAGACATTCCTATCACAATCATTCATTTCCTTCTGATCTCAAAATAAAAACTATAGCTTCAATTACTTGATATTTATAAAATATGAAAAGAAAAAAAGAAATGTGCTGGGTGACTGGAGGTCACCGGAAGTCCAGGTCCTTATGCTCCATCTAGCACCATTCTTATTTTGCAACTAAACTCACTCTACCATCAATCTATTGCACATTTATTTAACCTATTTATTGCCATCTATTTAACTTATACCAATCTACAGTGAAACATTTAAAGCACCTACTAGATGAGATGGGGTGTGTTCAGAGTGGGATGGCCGCAGACAGCAATTACCTATTTAACAGGTCGCTATTAAGATCATTTACCACAAATAACATCTAATAGACTCTACCAAACAATCATTTTATAATCACAGAAAATTTTACTTGAAGCGAGACAAACTTTTTTTCTTTTTGTTGGTGGTGGGGTTGAACTCAGATCCTTGCACTTGCTAGGCAGGTGCTCTGCCACTTGAGCCACGTCCCCAGTCCCACAAACATTTATTTGTGATGGCTGTATTCTTTGTGGGATGTGTTGCCAACTAGCCTCAAACTCCTGAGCTCAAGTGATCCTCCCACCTCAGCCGGTCTACAGGCAAGCACCACGGCACTCGTTTTTCAAAAAAAATTTTTAATTTTATTTTATCACTTCTACATTTACTTACACATGTATACATTATTTGGGCCACCTCCCCCTGTTTTCATGTTCTTAATTTTAATAATCTATACATGTCCTACAACAAGAAGAGCACAGGGAATATACATCAATAACTGATCATTTAGCCTTTAGGTTTAACAAACATTATTGCTTTAAATTCTCCCCCATAAATAAGGACACTAAACCTTTGAAAATTCAAATATTGAATCTTTTATGTTTAAAGAATTAGATTCTGCTCTGGTTAGGTGTGGTACTTTTGCAGTGCTGGGGTAGAATTCAGGGCTTCCAGGCCACACTGAGCCACATCCCCAGCCCTAAATATTTTAACAATCAATCACTTTTCAGGTATCAAGTCTAATCTGGTACTATTAAATATGAAAAGAGTAAGAAACACCTTAGCAGTGAGAGAAGATTATATTAGATGCAGCCTGTACTAAATAAATAAGACAGCTAAATTAAAATTAGGACATTTTCTGCTTGACAGCGGATTTAATAAGACAGGCAATGAACAGGTGTGTGGAGAAGCGAGGCAGGGTTCCCACCTGAAGGCCATGGACTCCAGGATGGCTCGGACGAGATGGTATTTGCTGGTGGAAGGCTTCAAACCCATGAAAGAGGCACAGGCACAGGGGTCATTCAAGGGAGCCTAAGATAAGACACAATAACAGCGTACTGTTCACGTTCCAGATCACATTTAAATATTCATGATAAAAACACAGCCATGTTAGAAGAATGCTTACTTAGAGTTAAATCACTTTAAAACAAATGATGGTCAGAGATCATCGAAATGCTGGGATGACCACTGCTTCTTGCCTCCCTTGTCCACTGTCTTGCTCTCCGAGGCATATATGCTGCTAGAGTAAAATTACACGGCTGTGTTCACAGCTGTCACCCCAGTGTGGCCCAGCCCTGGGCCATCTCCTGAAGTGGCTGACCCAAACTTTCTCACTGGCCTCAAAACTCAGCCAATGCCTTTGTCTCAGCAGACTTCCTAGAGAAATGGAGACCCACGGTTGTATCAGGATTCTAAAATTAAGGGCATATTACACATTTGAGCCTTCCTTCCTTCCTTCCATTTCCCAGTTCTCATTATTTTACATTGGTGAGATAGTCTGCTACCTATTTTCCGAATGGCTTGGGGTCAACATACTATTGTTTGAATTCACTTTCAGGTTCCAGTCATGAGATTCGTTTTATGTTAAAACACTGGCCTTCAATCACTCACACCCTCATGCTCCAGCTGTGCTCTGCTGCCAACAGGTGGCCAGGTCACACTCATGGCAGAGCAGAGACGTTTTATACAGATGAAACCAAGCCAGGATCAGTCATGCACATCTATAATCCCAGCTACCCAGGAGGGCTAGATTGAGAGGATGGAGGTTCCAGACCAGCCTGGGAAAAAAGTTAATGAGACTCCTATCTCCATCAATATAGGTGGCTCAGGCCTGGCATCCTAGCCACACAGGAAGCATAAACAGGAGGATCTCAGTCCAGGCCAACCCAGAAGAAAACAGGAGACCCTATCCCAAAAATAACTGAAGCAAAAAGGGCTGGGGGAGGGGCTCGAGTGGTAAAATGCCTGCCAAGTGCAAGGTCCTGAGTTAAAACTCCAATACCACCACCACCACCGAAAAAAAAAAAAAACATGAAATTTAAAAATCTATCTGTAATATTTTTGTCTAAATCTTTTGGGCTTTAGCAATACTTTCTTTTAAAGTCATGAATGTAATATTATTTTCACAAGAATGTGCCATAATGGACAAGTAAGAGAGAGTTCTTAAGACTAAGTCACATCTAAGTCCCCAGTATGTTTTTTTTCCTTTTTTCTGGTATTGAGGTTTGAACTCAGGGCCTACAACTTGAGCCACTCCACCAGTCCTTTTTTGTGACGGATTTTTCCAAGATAGGGTCTCATGAACTATTTGCTGGGGCTGGCTTTGAACCTCGATCCTCCTGATCTCTGCCTCCTGAGTAGCTGGGATTATAGGCGTGAGCCTCGGGCGACAGCCTGAAGAGTTTTTTTTTAAAAAAGCTTTTGTTACAATATCCTAACATTAAAGATAGTATCACAGGTAAATATAAAGTTCACTAAAATTAAACACAAAGTTAAATGGTACAAAAAGCAAGTTCTTTATTAGGTTTACTTTTTGATTAGAAAAAAGTAACTGATATTCTACCACAATAAGGAAAAGAAATGTGGAGTTTTGAAAAAAGTTAATGAAACTCACAGACACATTTTCAACATACTACCTGTGTGTGCGCACGCGAGCTGACATCAGTTTTCTAATTCTGGGTGGTATACCTCCTCTAAGTACAGAACGCTTTTCCCCCGGGGAAATGGTTATTTTTAGTCAAGATAAAGTAATCTCAGGTCTTATGTAAAGTTCTAGGATAAACCTGCCAACTTTTAGGTTCCACGGGAACAGCGTTCCAAGCCGAAGCCAGCGGAATCCTCTAAGTCCATGCCAAAGCAGCAGGGTCACTTAGGGGACATTCTGCTCTCATGGGGTCGTGCTAGGTCAGAGCACAACTTCTCACCTCTCAACTTAGTTCTGCTCAGCGCCCAAATTCCCAGGTAACAGAGTGACAGGAGGATTTAGGGAATGTCTGCAATTACCATTAACTTTAAAAAAATACCTGTAATCCATTAAAAGATGGAACAAAATAAACTCCTTCAGAATCTTCCAGACTTTTGGCCATTTTTTCCGTCTCTGCAGCATCTGTGAAAAGATCTGCAGAAACAAACACACAAACAACAACCAAAAAAAACCCCTAAAACAAAACGAAGGGTTGGGGAGGGACAAACAGAATTAGTTACACAAGAGGAGCACAATGAATGGAACGGAAAAGAGTCAACACAGCGTCATTCTGCTCGGTTTCTTGGCTCTCACTGCGTAGGTTCGAGCCCCCAGAGGGGCACGGGAGCCCGAAGGCCCTTTTAGAGGGGCTCTGGGTGCAGCAGGCACTTTTATCTTTAAAGATATTTGAGCTGCTGGAAGCATCAGTTGTGGGCTGGTAGAGTGGCTCAAGTGGCAGAGCTCCTGCTTAGCAAGCACGAGGCCCTGAGTTCAAGCCCCAGTATCGCAAAAGAAAAAAAAATGACTTTGTATCTCTTTGCTGGGTGCCAGTGGCTCACGCCTATAATCCTAGCTACTCAGGAGGCACAGATCATGACGATTGTGGTTTGAAGCCAGCCCAGGCAAATAGCTCTGTGAGACCCTATCTCAAAAAAACATCCATCACAAAAAAGGGCTGGTGGAGTGGCTCAAGGTGTAGGCCTGAGTTCAAATCACAGTACCACAAAAAGAAATAAATAAAAATGTCCAGATGTCTAAATTTCTCAATCAGGACACAATGTGGAAAAACTTACTACACAGCAGGCTTAAGGTAACTTTTTGGTAACAAAGAAGGAAAAAAAAGAGAGAGAGAGAGAGAGAGAGAGAGAGAAACAGAGAGAGAGAGAAACAGAGAGAGAGAAGTTAGCTGTGGCACTCTTCAGTGCTCACTCCTGGCTCGCAGAACATCTCTGAATAACCTCCACTACGCCGCTCTCCAGTGGCTACTGCTGAAAGCTTTTGGAATAAGCTCTGTGTCTCGCACTGAAGGCAGCCAGGAGCCCTGCAGAGACTGAGGGAAAAGCTACCTGAGGACCCAGCTAGCTGGCAGGCAGGAGGACACACAGTGCTACCAAACTGGTGCTGTTTCCTGTGTTATTTCCTCTGCTGTCTCCTGGCTGAGATTCAGGGACAGCCTGGAATCTGACAGCCGGATTTACCCTGGGCTCCCATCCTCAGAGGCTCCTGGGCAGCCCTGTTAGTGTGGGGGCAGAACAGGGTGCAGGCTTTCTACAGCCCACCAAGCAAAGCCCCATTTTTGTGCATTTTAGGGTTTTCCATGTAGGCCCAAGCTCCCATGGTGGCCACAACAGCATGCAGGCTCATGGAGCTGCAAGCCAAGCCAGAGGACAAGGGGATCTCTGTGGACTGCTGCGTCCCCCTGTCCCCAGGTCCCAGGTGACCCTGTGGCTGACAGCTAACAGAAGACAGGGCAGCAGTGACAACCAAAACTTCAGGTGAGCACTCAGAAAATCCCCTTACAAAGAGCCTTATGGTCTTACCCCTGAGCCTGAACGAAACCAGACAGAACTGACGTCTAGCGGGCCCCTGGGTGGCACAAATGAGCAACCGTCAAACAGCAAAAGCTCTGGAAGCACAGCCCAAGGAAGGCAAAAGTGGTGTTGCCAGTACATCCAAATTAGTGCCTCCAAGAACTATTTAAAAAGATAAAAATTCTCCTTAGGATTTAAATAAGACTCTGCGTCACATCTGCATAATATTCAAATTTTGGAGACAACTGGAAATTGATCGCCACCTGAAGGACAAAGGAAATCTCAACTATTTGCAAGATGACATAGATGACACAGACATTGGGATTATCAGACAAAAATCATTAAGAGATTAAAGATGAATGCTCTTGAAATAAATGGGAAGACGGATTTTCAGCAAAGAAATGGAAGACATGAGGAAGAAGCAGATGGAAATTTTAGAGAAGAAAAATGTAACATACAGGATTTTAAAATGAACTGTCTTTTATGTATTTGATAAAAGAGAACTAATAGATAAACGATAATAGATAATAATGATAGATAAAAGATAACTAACAGATAAAAGAGAACTAGGGGAAAGTCAGTAAATTTGAAGACAGACCAACAGAAATGATCCTATCTGAGTAAGAGAAGACAAAACACCCAGGAAGCAAATGAAAAGCAAGCAAGCAGAGCTGGTGGGACAGTGAGCCTTTCTGACAGTTGAGTCCCAGAAGGAGCGTGCACACCAGAAAAAGATCTTTGAAGAAGAAAACTACTATAAACGTGGCAGCAGGAGAAAGACTACAGTCTGTACCCTCAGGCATACATAGGAGCTCAAGGCCCTGGGCTGGACCCCAGCCTCCCCCTGAAGAATCGCGTGCTATGTGCAGTAGGGCGGCTGGAGCTAAGGAGCACATCTCATAGGTGTTTCAGAAAGCCGGAAGGAAAGATTCTGAATGTTTTACCATAAAGAAATGATAAGCCGGGTGCAGGTTATCATGCCTGTAATCCTAGTTACTTGGGAGGCTGAGATCTAGAGGATCTCAGTTCAAGGGCAGCCTGAGGAAATAGTTCGTGGGACCCCCAGCTCCAAAATAACCAGGGCAAAATGGACTGGAGGTGTGGCTCAAGTGACAGAGCGCCTGCTTTGCAAGTGTGAAGCCCTGAGTTCAAACCCCAGTCCCACCACGGAAGTCAAAGACTAAAGGCAGAGACCCCTTTAAACAGACAGGCGCACACTGGAGAACACGCGTGAGTGGCTGTAAGCTGCGGACTCCTCACAGAGACTAGGAGGCCAGAATGGCTGTTTGTTTGTTTTGCAGTGCTGGGGCTGGAGCCCTGAGCAGGTAGCTCATGCTAGGCAAGAGCTCTACCACTGAGCCACACCCAGCATGGAACACCTTTTAAGTAATGAAAGATTAAGGAACAAAGGAACTGTTGACCCAGGAGTCTCCATCCAGCAAAAAAAACCTTCAAAATAAACATGAGAAACTCTATCACATCTCATGAAGGAGAACAAGAGTTTGCTGACAACCAACGTGTCATTAAAAGAACACTGACTCAAGCCTCGGACTTCCTACCAAAGCTCACTCTTCGTGGACCACACATCTAAATGAAAAACAAACTCTGTGACTCTTACGAGAGCAGAGGAGAAAAATCTGTGTGACCTGAATTTATCAAGTAGTTCTTAGAGGAGCTGCTCGAAGCACAGTCTATGAAACAAAACAAAAATCAATATATTAAATTTCACAAAATTGGAAACTCTTGCTCTGCAAAACACACTGATAAGAAAAGGAAGAAAGTATATGTAAAACACATATTCCAGAAAAAAAAAGAACACCTCTCAAAGCTCATCTGCAAAACAACCCAATAAAAAAATACACAATTTCACAGGCGTTCCAGGGCACCAGGCTGCACATAGTGAGATGAACAGAAAACCCACAAAAGATTTGGAGTCATCCAGATGGCAAAAAGACATCAGTGCCCTTTGGGAAATGCAAATTCAAAGCACAATGAGATGGTTTGAGACGTCTAGTAGACTAATTAAAATTTAAAAAAGGAAAAAGACAGTGAGGAGAACCGAAGCGAGTGGCGCAGAGGCACAGTGGGGCAGCCACAGTGGAAATCAAATCGGCGGGGTAGGATTTTATTTTTCTGAAGTTACACACATGCTTACATGTGAGTATTTACCTGAGCAGCAATCCCACTCTTGGGTGTCCTCCCTTAAAAGAGTAAATGTCATGTTCATGCAGAAACCTGTCCAAATGTTTGCAGTAGCTTTATTCATCCGCACAGCCCACGTGTCCTTCGGGGAGTGAAAGGACCAGCTGGAACACAGCCACGTAACGGAAAAGCACTGAGCAGAAAAACGGAGCAACTACGGGCAGACAGAGGCCCAGGTGAATCTCAAAGGCACGACAGACACTCAGCCGGCTCCATGCTTGGGGCTCCAGGACACATCATGCAAAAGGCAGAACAAAGGGACAGAGAGAGAATGGACCAGCTGCTGCCTGAGACCACAGTGGGCAGGGTAATTTTGGGGGAGATAATGAAAGTGTTTAGCATCTTGATTGTGGTGATGGTTACAGTAGACTATTCAGGTCTTAAAAACAGAATTATATACCAAAAACCCAAACAGCAAATATATGTGGGGCTAGGGAAGTAGCTCAGTGGAAGAGCACTTGCCTAGCATGCTCAAAGAACTGGGTTCAATTCCCAGCACTGCAAAAACCAAAGCAAAACCTACGTATAGGATTGTATGTGTGATTGTTTGGGTATGCCTGTCCATTGTTAAAACTCACTGGCCACTTCACGTGGCTGAATTTAATTAGACATAAATTAAACCTCAATTTTGATTGATTTGAAATACTTTTTCCTCAAACATGGGAAAAGAGGTTCAATTTCACTCATTTCATTCAAACGCTGAGAGAGCAGCTCTCACCTGGTGAGGCTAGGGGAAACGGCCCCATATGCTTCCAGGGGAAATGCAAGTGGTAAGGATCCGTGTGGAAAATTATCTGACAAAACTATTACCCGCTGTCTCTTTGACAAAGCAATCCCACTTGTGGGAATTCTTTTTTTTTTTTTTTGGTGGTTCTGGGAATTGAACTCAGAGCTTCCTGCTTGTGAGGCAAGTGTTAAATCACTTGACCACACCCCTGCACCTTTTCTCTTTAGATTTTTTTTCTTTTTCCAGTACTGGGGATTTGAACCCAGGGCCTTGTGCATGCTAGGCAAACACTTAACCACCAAGCTACAGCACTGGCCATATAACCTTGATATAAAACCTAGAGAACTCAAGGCTGCATTCATGTTTGGGTTCCACTCCAGCAGCAAGCCATGCTTACCTCATTATGTTACCCCACCAGGAAAGGGAACAGGCAGCAGGGCCACCACCTTCTCTGAACCCTGCTCACTGCATCACCACCACTCAGAATTAGTTCACAGATGAGAGATCCATCTCACCTACTGTGGCCAGGTGCACATCTGTAATCCCAGCATCCAAAAAGCTGAGACAGGGGGACTGTGAGTTCAAGGCCAGCCTGGACTACCCTGGCTCACAAAACAAAATCATTTCTTCTAATGGGGGTGCCCATAGTCCTCTGCGGAAGGTGCCCAGAGAAAAGGAAGCAGTTTCTTTTAGTTCTAGTAAACAAGAGTTGTTTACTAGAGTTGTGGGTAACTTAAAATGTGGACTTAAGAGAAGTCTAACGGGGATTGCTTGTGGCAGGCACACGTGACGTGTAGCAATTAAAAATACCACTGCTACGGAAAAGATGTCCCCTGATCCTTGTTAACTGGAGACAGGAGAGATGCAAATTGCACCTGTAGAAAAGAAATAAGGTTTTATTTTGCCCTTTTACTGGGTCCTGATCCTCCCTGCTCTGGGCCTTCCACGCTGGTCCTCTCCATGTGAACTGCTCCATGACCATCAGCCTCCTCCACCTATCAACCATGCATCTTTTTTCAGAGTTCAACTGAGACCACTCTTTTTTTCTTTTTTGACAGTTCTGGAGTTTGAACTCAGGGCCTTGTGCTTGCTAGGGAGATGCTCCACCAGTTGAGCCATGCCCCAGTCTTTTTGGCTTTTAGTTATTTTTCAAATAGGGTCGTGCATCTACACCTAGGCTGGTCTGGACCATGATCCTCCTAGCACTGCGATGACAGGTGTGTGCCACCACACCCAGCCACTGGTTGAGATGGGTGTTGGGAACTTTTCGCTGGGGCTGCTCTTGCAACACAATCCTCATGATCTCCACCTCCTGAGTAGCCAGGATTACAGATGTGAGCCACCACACCTGGACACCATACTCCTTTAAAGAAACCTCTGATTGATTCTCCAGACTAGGCAAAGGCCTTCCTCGAGAAAGCAATCATTGTTACTATTTCTTTCCTGACACTTTTTTTTTTTCTTAAGATGAGGTCTTGCTATGTTTACCAGGCTGGGAACTTCTGAGCTCAAGCAGTCCTCCTGTTTGAATCTGTAGCTGGGATTACAGGAATGCACCACTGCACCCAACGTTAATGTTTTTAATACTAATTTTTAACTTTTTTGGTGGGACTGGGGTTTGAACTCAGGGCTCTGAACTTGAAAAACAGGCACTTTACTGCTTGAGCCACACCTCCAGTCCATTTTGCTATGGGTTTTTTGGAGATGGGGGGAGGGTTCTCTCGAGCTATTTACCCAGGCCGGCCTTGAACCAAGATCCTCCTGATCTCAGCCTCCCAAGTAGCTAGGATTATAGGTGTGAGCCACAGCACAGTCGTTTTAATGTTTTTAAATTGCAAATTTAATGTATGCCTTTCCTGCTGGACTGTAACCGTCACGAGGACAGGGATGTCATCAGTGTCCTCATAGCCCACACAGTTCTAGGAGTACCCTAAGCACTGGATTACGTATAAAAGAGACAATCACATGGAAACCCAAATATGGCTTCAGGGGGAAAAAAGTGAGACAGAAGTACCATGAAAAGGATAAAGAAAATAATTCCAGCAACTCGGGAGGCAGAGGGAGGAAGATTTAGAGTTTGAGGCCAACTTGGGCAAAGGTTCCAGTGAGACCTACTCTCTCATGCTTGGACTTTATACTATACTGTATATGCAGTATATATTACTATATTCCTATGAGAAAAGTGCAATTTTCTGACTAAAAATAAGTAAAAAAAAAAGTCTGGGTGTGGCTCAAGGGTTAGAGTGCGTGCTTAGTGTGTACAAGGGCCTAGGTTCAGCCCCCAGGATCACACATCCAAAACCACCTACAAATGAATTTGAGACTGGTTTAAGACAACTTTAACACCCGAGTCTGAGTTTTTGAACCCAGTTAAGGGTGGGAGGAAGCCACCATTCTGAATGCGACAAGCCTCCCATCCCCCAAAGGTGCCACATCCTCAAGGAAATGCCAGGGTGCTCGCTCTGACACCAGTGTTGCTCCTGAATAGTAGTCAGTTACTTTTTTCAATATACCCAGTAAAGAAACTTCCCAGAAAGGGATAGATTCAAATAAATGTCCATTTTTATGTGAATTTCAGATGAATATACACCAGCAAGCAAGATTTGCCAGTGGTTGAAATTTTAAGGTAAGTAATTGCACTTTGAATTCTCTCTCCTCTAGTTAGACCAAGAGTTTCGTTTTCCTGCCAGAGATGGGACTGGCCTTCAGGAAGGAAGGGCCTGGGCTTCCACCAGGAATCACGCTGCTTTCCAAGGTCACGGCCATCTGGCCCTATCTCCCAGAGGAGTTTGAATATTCGAGAATCACCAGGAATGAGCCTCACCCAGCAAGCCGCAGAAGTGACTTCCCGACGAGGTGAGGTTGATCTTTTAAACTAACGAATGTGACACGAACTATTCTGCTTTTCCCTCACCTCTTCTGGGAAGGAGGAAAAGTAACAGAGGCGGCTGGGCTGTAGCTCAGTGGTTGAGCACTTAGCATCCCCAAGGCCCTGGGTTCGATCCTCAGCATCTCAACTTATATATATGTATTTACAACGGTATTAAAAGGTGCTAACCAGAAGAAATGGGTAACCAGCAGCTTCTGTGTTTGAGAACTTCGAGCTATTTAAACATGTATGTCTAGAGTATTAAAAGACACACACTTGAGGAGACTTTGAAATGACAAAGAGCTTTTAAATAAATATTTGTTAATAAGTAATTGCGGGCTGGGGGTGTGGCTCACGTGGCAGGGCGCCTACCTAGCAAGTGCGAAGCCCTGAGTTCAAGCCCCAGTATCACCAAAAAAATTTATTTAAAAATAAGTAATTGTGTGCTTATTATACAAATGCAGGCTCAGAGAGAAAGAGAGGGTGACAGGGATGCAGCAGCAGTAGAGTTCTTGCTTAGCCTGGGCAAGGCTCTCTCCTAGTGCTGAGAGAGAGAGAAAGAGAGAGACAGGGAGGGAGGGAGGAGGGAGGGGAAGAGAAAGAGAGGGAGACATCACCATTTCTCTCTTAGAGTCTGTTTTCTGCCAATAGAACAATCTTTTTCTTTAAATGAATCAGCTTGGTTTAAAGCCACAGATTGTACCACAATTGAATAAATGATGACCAGTACTGATACTTTGTTACACAATATTTCATGCTTCATACATGAGATATGGCTTTATACTACCTAGGTGCTTCCTCACTCATGATAGCCAAAAGCCAGAAAGAGCCCAAATGTTCACCAACTAATGAATGAATCAATTAGTTCACTCATATAGTGAAGTATTATTCGGAAATAAAAAAGAAATGAAATAGAGATACATATTAAAACGTGTGAACCTTGCTCCATCACATATGCTCCATCAACGTGAAATGTGCAGAGCAAGAGAGTCCACAGAGGCAGGAGTAAAGAGTGACAGCGAGGGGTCAGGAGTGACAGGAGGAGCAGGGAGGGGTCAAAGGGAATTTTGCTTAGAGAAAATAAAAATATTCTAAAATTAGATGCTGTGATGTTTATACTACTGAGTGAAAATTGTAAGCAAATATGTAATTATTTTAAGAGGTGAATATGATGTGTAAATTACACCTCAATAAAAGTATTTATACAGGTTCTCCTTTTTTGGGGGGAGGACTGGAAGATCAGATCTTCACACTGGCCAGGCATGCGCTCGAGCCCTTTCTTGTATTGTGTATTTTTCAGATAGGGTCTTGAGAACTAGTTGCCTGGGCTGGCCTCGAATGGCGATCCTCCTTACTGTATAGCTAGGATTACAGCGAGAACCACCAGCTCCTGGCTGTACAGGCTGTCCTTTAGCTGCTTCATCGCTCCCTAACGTGTCACAGATAAGACACCATGTCAGTACAATGTGCAAGATACACTGTTATTTTTAAGTGACTGCACAGTGTTCCACTGCATGGTCGGACATTTATTTATTTAATACTTTGTTATTAAACAGAGCTCATTTCTAACTGCTGAATTAAATTGTGTGCATGTACTTATCTTTGCACACCTGTATGATTTTCAGAGAAAACAAACAGAACTTAGCGCAAAAGGTTTGTATACTGGGTTTGGCGGTGTGGCCGAAGTGGTACAGTGCTTGTTTGGTAAGTGCAAGGCGCTTTGTTCAAAACCCCATACTGCAAAAAAAGAATTCTTTGTTGGGCATGGTGAGTCATGCCTGTAATAAGCAGCTACTCAGGAGGTAGAGGTAGGCGAAAAAAGAAAAAAAAAGGTCTATGCAATGTAAAATGACACCTACTGCGTGGCTGTCCTGCACAAGGCCCACACCCATCAATCCATCCCAAAGGAAAACAAGAATCTTTTTTTTCTCTATTGTCCACCAGTAGCGAGCATCATCGAACTTAGAAACTTCTGACAAGAGAGACAGCAAACAGGACGGGTAATATTTTCAAGTGTGCATTTCTGATTCTTAATTATTGAATGTAGAACATTCCATGATGGCTGTTTTTGCTTTGTTTTGTACCTCTGTCCTTTGTCCATTTCTTGTCATTTTACTAATTTTCCTGACATTTGCTCCAGCAGATTAGTCAGTCTTTTCATTCTGCTTGGGGCATATATCTCTCTCCCTGTACATCCTACTGTTTTATATGCAAAAACCTGCTATTTTTTCAACTTAGGCTTCCATGCCTTCATACCTAGCCTTTACCACACCAATATCATAAGAGCATTCTCTATTTTCTTAAAATACATGTCCTTTCATTCTGGTGTTTTATTGGAATACTCTCTGGGTCACCTTCTGACTTACAATCATGTAAGTCTGGCCAGTGAAGTCACTGAAAAGTCGACTTACCCAGCTGCTGGGCCCACTGTATGGCAGTGCCAGTGTCTCCTGCATTGCCTTCAGCCAGGCACACAACTTCCGGCCCAATCTTCCACCCAATTAATGGATAAAAGCCTCAGAGAGAAAGCAAGCAGACAGCCACATAAGTCAGTGAGTAAACAGCAACTCATGAGAACAATGCTCTCAACCGAACGATTAATTACATAAAAAACCCGACGTGCCTATGCAGAGAGACTGCCCAAGTTCAAAGCCCCTCACGGTCACTAGCTGTGAGCTCACAGGCCTCTTAGGCTCTGTTTTCTGGACAGTAAAATGGCTTGCTGTGGACAGCTGCAGGAGTGAACTGCGTTAATGCACAAAAGGACTTGCGCACAGCCTGGCAATAAATATGGCTTATTTAGCTTTTATTTATTTGTTTGTTTGTTTTGTGCTGCTCGGTATCAAACCCAGGGCCTCAAGCATGCTATGCAAACATTCTACCACTGAGCTACATCCAATGCCCTTAAATATTAATTTTAATTAGCCTGTCTCTAGAACCTGGTAATAAATATTTTGAGAAATTAAGGTACTGTGAGATTGATTTGCTGGAGAACCGTGCCAGCGTGTTTATCTGTGGTTCCAAACAAGCCTTCGAATACAAACAATGCAACGCAATGACCACTGTTTTCTTAGCCAATTTCCCAGTGAAGGGAAAGGAACAGACAGTTGGAGAGGGGTGGAAACGAGGAAAAGGAATTCCAAACCAGCTCTGGGGCTAGTGGAGTGGCTCAAGTGGCAGAGCACCTGTTTAACAAGCCTGAGGCCCAGTACTGCAAAAAAAAAAAAAACAAAAAAACCCCAAAACAGCCAAGCTTCGGCTCACACCTGCAATCCTGCTTGGGAGGCTGAGATGGGGAGGATCAATGTTCAAGGCCAGTCAACTAGTTTGCAAGACCCTCTCTCACAAATAACCAGAGCAAAATGGACTGGAGGTATGGCTCAAGCAGTAAAGCACTTGCTTTGCAAGAACCTGCTTTTCAAGTGTTCAAACCCCAGTCCCACCAAGGGAAAAAAAAACCCAAAACAAAACAGCTGAGTAACCACATAAGGAGAACTGAGTCCAAACTAAGAGACACAACCCTCCAGCACATAGTTCCACAACTAGACTTCTGGGTCTGCACAACCCAGATCTACTCCATCAGGGAGAGCAAATTCTTACAATTATCATTAAGACAACTAACACCCCAAAAAGCTACCAAAAAGAAGAATTTTCTGTAAGAAAGGGGAGAGGAAGAAAGAGGGAGAATGACGGGGGGCGGGGGGGTGAGTTTAACTAAGATATATTGTAAGCACATATGTAAATATCACAATGTATCCCCCTGTGCAACTATTATATGTTAATTAAATTTTAAAAACAAAAAAAAATAATTTTCTGGGTTTGGGACGAGGCTCAAGTGGTAGTGCGCTTGCTTAGCAAGACTGAGGTCCCAAGTTTAAACTCCAATAAAGGAAGGGAAGGAGAGAGAGGGAAGGAGGGAGGGAGGGAAAAAGGGAGGGAGAGAAAAGAATAGAAAGACCAAAAAAGAGAAATTAGGGCTGGGAGCGTGGCTCGGTGTACAGCACTTGCAGGGCCCTGGGCTCCATCCCAGCACCACACACACGAAATAATTTAGAGCCCTAACAGTAGGTCTTAAACAAACACAACATGCAATAAAGGTAAGTATTTGGAAAGATGACCAAAACACCCTAATCCTTCTGGGTTTTTTTTCTGTAATATCTTTCTAGCTTTTAAAAATTCTATTAATTTAACCCTTTTAATTGAAAGGAAATAGATTGTCCCTAAGAATAACCGCTGAAGGGTATTAAACAGGAAAACAGCAGCGGTTCACAGACAGACATGAAAATGAGCGCGCTGTTCCCCAGCAAGCCAGACCTCTTCTGATCACTCACCTCCCACGGTGTGTTGAGGGTCATTCCCAGTGTTGATATCCAGAAAGGTCCCCGTCCCCATGGTGAGTTTCACGTCTCCCCTCTGGAAGCAGCACTCTCCAAACATGGCCGACTGCTGGTCACCGACCTGCGACGAATGCTCAGGCATGAGAGCTGCCACCCGTGCACCCCCTGCTTCACTTACTGTTCTTTTTGTTTGCTTGTTCAGGCTGGCCTGGAACTCCCTACGGAGCTCAGGTTGGGCTTGAACTTTTGATTGTCCTGCCTCAGCCTCCTGGGTGCAGGAATGATGGGTGTGTGTCACCACATACAGCTGCCTTAGGAATTTAAAAATGTTATTGGTAGTACTGCAATTTGAACTCAGGGCTTTGTGCTTGTTAGGCAAGAGCCACACCTCCAGCCGGAGACAGGAATTTTCAATGGGCAAACTACTTCATGAAAAAAAAATAAATGAAAATAAAGCCAGGCACTGGTGGCTCATGCCTGTAATCCCAGCTACTCAGGAGGCAGAAACCAGGAGGATTGTGGTTCAAAGCCAGCCCAGGCAAATAGTTCGTGAGACCCTATTTTGAAAAACCCTTCACAAAAATAGGGCTGTGGAGTGGTTCAAGGTGCAGGCCCTGAGATCAAACCCCAGTATGGGAAAAAAAAAAAAAAAAGCAGCATGTGAATAATTTCATAGAAACAAAACTAAGATTTTTCATTTTCAGCCTCACAGAGGTTTCAATCATGAGTCAAAATAACTGATCTCATAAGTTTCTCCTTCATTAAGAGTGACAGGAGCTGGGCACCAGTGGTTCACAGTTCGAGGCCAGCAAATAGCTCAAGAGACCCCCACTTCCAAGATAACCAGAGCAAAATGGACAGGAGGTGTGGCTCAAGCCACAGAGCACCTGCTTTGCAAGTGTGAAGCCCTGAGTTCAGCCCCAGTTCCACCAAAAACCAAACAAACAAAAAGCCGTTTTAGGCTGGGCATGGTGGTTCATACTTATAATCTCAGCACTTAGTAGTCTGAAGCAGGAGGATCTCAAGTTCAAAGTCAACATGGGCTACCTGGCAAAATTGTCCCCCAAAATTTAAAAACTAAAAAGTAAAAAACCCTAAAAAAGACAAAAAAAAAAAAAAGAGAGAGAGAGAAGAAAATAATAATAATCTGTAACTGTCCCAGCCACACCCGAGTCTAACCTAGGACCCAGCCCTAGAATGAGTAAAGCCCTCAGTCTAAATGACCCAGGACCTGGGAAGGTCCCTTCCCGTTGTGAGACTGTCCACCCAGGAACAGGCGTCTCTACCGCCTGCTTCAGTTGCTGCAGGAAATAAGATGCAACCCTGGGTTTCGAGCAGCTGTCACCCAGGCAGCAGATCCTGCAGGCTCTCCAGCTTCCCACGCCCCAGCCAGCCAGAGAGAAAGAGCAGAATAGTGAACGGACCCTTGAAAACAAAAACCAGCACGTTTTTCATTTTTACACCAGCATCTGTCCTGGTAGATGCTGGCTAAGGATTTTATAAAAGGTAAGTACAGCTTTCCCTTTTAGTGTAAATTGCTCTGTTACTGCCTGTGGTCATATTAATGAAATATAAATTAAGCACTGGCTCATCACTGATTTTGGTCTCACAGTATCATATATAAGCCAAATACCACTCAGAATACTACACCTTTCAAAAATTTACTGGTTTCTTTTTCGGCTGTACTGGGGTTTGAACTTTGAACTCAGGGCCTCTCGCTTGCTAGCAGGTGCTCTACCACTTGAGCTAGACCCACCCCTGCCCCAAAATTTAAGTTTTCTAGAAAACAATCTAGAGGTAGTTGGAAACAGTTATGAGGTGTTTCCAGGATAGAAGACAGGTCCACTCTGCAGAATAAAGAGGCTACTTCTGGTTATATCCAGAACCCTTTAGTTTAGGGGAAAAAGAACATTGAACTTTTTTTTTCTTCCTTCAGTGCTGGGGATCAAACCCAGGGCTCTGTGCATGCTAGGCAAGTGCTCTACAACTGGGGTACACCCATAGCCCTGGTACTTTAATTTTATTCTGCCAAGTACCTTTTGCTTCTCTTAAGGCTAGCCTGAGCTGGGTATGGTGGCTCATACCTGCAATCCTTTACTGGGGAGGTGGAGATCAGGAGGATGGCAGTTCAAGGCCAGCCTAAGCAAAAAGTTAGTGAGACCCCCATCTCAAGCAATAAGCCAGGTGTAGTGATGCACACTTGCCGTCCGTTACACAGGAGCATAAATAGGGAGATCTCAGTCCATGCCAGGCACCAGAGGTTCAGGTCTATAATCCTGGGCATTTGGAAGGCTGAGATCAGGAAGACCGAGGTTCAAAGCAAATAATTCACAAGACTCCATCTCCAAAATAAGCAGAGCAAAATGGACTGGAAGTGTGGCTCAACTTGTAGAGGGCCTGCTCTGCAAGTGTGAAGCCATGAAGCCCTGAGTTCAAGCACTGCTACTACCAAAAAAAAAGAACAAATTTGATCCAGGACAGCCTGGGCATAAATGGGAGACCCTAGTCAAAAACTAACTAAAGCAAAACGGGCTGGGGGTGTAGCTCAAGTGGTAGAGCTCCTGCCTAGCAAGCACTAGGCCCTGAGTTCAAACCCCAGCACCACCACCACCAACAAAAGCCCCCAAACAGTTCCAACTAGTTTCATTTATGATACAAAGAGAGACCCTCACGGCTCTACTTACCAAGGCAACTATCGGTATAGGCGCACCAAATACCTCTTCATCCACTGACCCAAAATGGTGGCTTCAAATGCAATTGATTAAAAGTTAGTCATGGCTGTGGGCGTGTCAATTTGAAGCTTACAAGTTGTTTTTCACATAGGCCAAAAGTTACATAATGGATGGACAGCACCTCCAGCGCGTGGGAAAATGGTGTCCCCACCCTAGCGGGGAGAAGGCAGCTTACCTGGTGTCCTTCACGGGCGGCAGGATGGAGAGAGGAATGGAAGCCAGGAAGGTGATGAGGCCACTCCAGCACAGCTGCGCAGGAAACACGGTCAGCCCACGCACTAACACGATCACACCAATGTACAAGTGTCAGACCTCGCGTGCCATGCCATAAGCATGCACACGGGTTACTGATTGAAATAATTACATTAACTTAAAAAGTACAATGAACCCAACCTAATTATACAAAAAAACTGAGTGAGTCAAAAGAAGCTGAAATGTCTTTACCTTATAGGGGTCAAAAAATCCGGTTGTACTGGCGTTGGAAAAGTCTGTGGCGTATGCAGAACCTAAGTTCCCATTGGAAATCACACTTTATTATTATGTCATACAAATCGTTTATAAGCTAGACCGTCTGCCCTCTAACTCATTCCAGACGTGCATTTCCAACAGTCTCCAGAGCGACCGCCCACTGAATTTCACAAAAGCCCTTTCATAGACATTGTCACTTTATGATCCCCAGGGTAAAGATCAGAGAGGCTGAGCCATCGCCCGACAGTTACATCCAAGTGCAACACAGCAGATGTGGCACTGAACTCATGTTCTGTCATTCTTTTCTTGTGTGTGTGTGCGGTACTGGGGTTTGAACTCAGGGCCTTAGCAAGCAGGCGCTCTACCACTTGAGCCGCTCCCCCAGCCCTTTTTGCCTTAGTTATTTTCCAGATAGCATCTCTTGCTTTTTGCTGGAGCAGGCCTCCTCCTACCGATGCCTCCTGAGTCACTGGATCACAGATATGTACTACAAAGCCCAGCCCATTTGCTGAGATGGAGGGGGTCTCACTAGCTTTTTGCTCAGGCCAGCACAAACTGCAGCCCTCATCAGTCTCTAACTCCTGAGTAGCTAGGATTACAGGCATGAACCATTGCACCTGGCCTCAATTTTGCCACTCTTGAAATAAAGACTGTTTCTCAGTCTTAGATCTTAAGGTTTCCTTACAATTTTAAAACCATCCTCCTCTTACAACAAATCTGAAATAAATCCACCTTTACTGCACCATGGAGTTCTTAAGGTGCCAAAGAGCCGTACGGCTGTGACATGGGAAAGAACAGTGGGGGTGGGGAGTAACTTCTCCATTTCGGGCAAACCTTTGCTCTCAATTTCTCCTGCTTGAGTCCAGCTATCGCTCCCCTCACCTTTTGTGAGTTTATGCAGCAACCAGGTGTCAACTGTCCCAAAGCGACAATTGTCTTCTTCAACTGCCTTCTGCACCTTGAAGACACAACAGCACAAAATTAATTCAAAGGGCCTAACCTACTAAGGGCAGATCAGAAACTACAATATAACCTCATTTATAAACAATTTATAAATGTTAAAAGTCAACGTCCACACAGGAAAACAATGTATAGAATATATTCCACAAGACTTTAAGCAATTATCACAGGGGCTGAGGTTTGGAGACAGTGGCTTTTCTTGTCCATGTGGCATTTCTGAAACACTTTAGTTTTACACTAAAAGCATGCGTTACTTGTGTTATAAAAAGAAAATAAAAGCAAAGCCTAAATATTTTTAGTGTAGATACACAAACACACGCGTATAGCCTAAAGTACATACAGCACCCTCAAGGGCCAAATCCAATTCACTGCTGCTTTTTGTACAAGTTAAGAATTGTTTTTAAATTTTGTTCATTTTTATGCTGCTGGAATTGAGCCCAAGGCCTTCTGCATGCTAAGTAACTACTCTACCAATTGGCTACAGCTCTGGCTCCTAGTTCTTTTGTTTTGTTTTTTTTGGTGGCACTGGGGTTTGAACTCAGAGCCTTACGCTTGCTAGGCAGGTACTCTTACCGCTTGAGCCACTCCACCAGTCCCTAAGTTTTTCTAATGCTTAGAAAAACTCAAAGAAGCTGGCACCAGTGGTGCATGCCTGTAATCTAGTTACTCAGGAAGCAGAGATCAAGAGGACTGAAGTTCAAAGCTAGCCCAGACCCAATCTCAAAAAAAAAAAAAAAAACCATCACAAAAAAGGGATAGCAGAGTGGCCCAAGCAGTAAGAGCTCACGAGGCCCTGAGTTCAAATCCCCAGTACTACCAAACAAAACAGAACCTCAAAAGAATACTATTTCATGACGCATACAGATATATAAAATTCAAATTGCAGCATCCATAAATAAAGCTTTGCTGGAAGTCAGCTCTAGTCATTTGCTGATGCATTCATTATAGCCACTTTCATGCTGGAATGGCAGAGCAGCTGTGACACAAACTGTGACCTCTCAAAGCCTAAATATCCTATAAACCAACTGCCAAACCTGGCCAAAAGCATAAAAAGAAACAATGAATCCCCTCATATTATTAATGTATGCTAATTTAAAAAAAAAGCCTCCAGAGAAAACCAAGGAAGGCAACAGAAAGGAAAAACAAAGACGCCAGCTTGCCGCGGTGGCACATGTCCCTCACCCCAGCTGTACCGGAAGAGGCAGAGGCAGGAGGAACCGGAGTGCGAGGCCAGCCCTGGCAAGGTTATCAAGAACCTAATTTCTTCTTTTTCCTTTTTTCTTTAGAACCTAATTTCTAATATAAAGTAAAGCCGAGGCATGGCTCAAATGGTAGAGCACCTGACTAGCAAGTACGAGGCCCTGAGTTCAAACCCCAGTACTGCCAAGTAATTAATAATAATACATGTTTCAAAGGCTTGGGGACAGTAAGCAGCTAGAAGAAACACCATAGCTGAGATTTAGTGTGCAGTGTTCTCTGATAGTTTTGGGGGTTCTTTTTTCTTTTCTGATGTTTGGGATCAAGCTCAGGGCCTTGCACATACTAGGCAAGAACTTTACCACTAAGCTACACTCCAGATCCAGGTTTTTGGTGTGACAAGGTCTTGTGACATAGCTCAGGCTAGTCTGGAACTTGCTGTATGGCCCAGGTTGGCTTCAAACTCATGATCTTCCTACCCGTGTCTCTTGAGTGCTGGGATTACAGGAGTGCCCCAGCACGCCAGGCATATGAGTTAAACTAACATGAGTACGATCACTCCATTTGCACCATACATCTTCCCACCATTCACTTTTAATCTATTTGTATTTTAAAATCTAAAGTGTGTCCCCTACGGAATGTATCTAGTGGGATTTTGGGGAGAAGGTACTGGGAATTGAACCCAGGGGATTTGCACCCACTGAGTTCCACTCCCCAGACTGAATCTTGATTTTTTTTCTCTAGTCAAATATTGTAATAAAATTCCCAATAAAATGCCTAAAATGAAAAAGAGAAATAATATCAATTACAATGGCAAATGAAGTAAAAAGTCCTCCCACCATGGATGGTGACCGTGTAAATTAGCATAACCACTTTGGAAAAAGTTTTTGTTTTTAATTGTTTTTATAGGCAGGGTCTTGTTATGTATAGCTCAGGATGGCCTTGAATCACAGTCCTCTGCCTCGGCCCCAAGTGCTATGGAAATGTGGCTGACATTGCTCACTAAAGTGAAAGCACACATACACATTCGTTCCCTCACAGTCCCTCCCGTGCATAGGCCACTGTTCACGTGACCGTCGTGAGACATGTCACTCGTTATAGCCCCAAACTGGAAGCGGCCCAAGTGAATGCGAGAGCAGAATTTTTTAAAGTGCAGTAAAATCATATACTGAGGACTGGCAGAGTAGTTCAAGTGGTAGAGCACCTGCTGAGCAAGCACAGGCCCGAGGTTCAAATCCCAGGATAGCAAAAAAAAAATCATACACTAAACAGGAAACACCAGTGCAAAAGTGAACTAGAAAGTTTACATACGACATGGGTGTATTTCACACATGGTATTGAGCAAAAGGAGTACAGCGCAGAAGAATGCACTCTAAAATTCAGTCCACGCAGTTCAGTACTCAGAACTCCGGTGTGGCGTGAGGAGCGGCACACTCGCTGTGAAGTAAGCAAGGCGTGTGACAGAAAGTGCCCCAGTGTCATCGCCCCGGGTCCAGGCGATGCACACAGGTCTTTGCTACACTGAGCGCATGCCTTCTTAGCCCTTCTCCATGTCTTATGTCACAACAGAAAGTTTTACAGAGCACGCACCAGCAAAGACGCATGGTCTCCATCCCAGCAGTGCTGGGCACTTAATTCCCCTCGAATAATCAGTTTTTCTTCCCCACAGTCTTTCATTTGGGAGGGTATTTTCTTTCTTTCTTTCTTTCTTTCTTTTTTTTTTTTTTTTGGCAGAACTGGGGTTTGAACTCAGGGCCTTGTGCTTGCTGGCACTGCTCTACCACCTGAGCCACTCTGCCAGCCCTTTTGGCTTTAATTGTTTCTCGCATAGGCTCTTGTGCTCTTGCCCAGCCTGGCCTTGAACTGTGATCCTCCTAACTCGGCCTCTGGAGTAGGCGGGATTACAGACGTGAGCCGTGGAGCCCCCGCCCGGTCTTTTTCTCATCTGTACACATACAGTCTTTACTTACTTCGGCCACGTTCTGTAAAATCCAGAACAGTCTCAGAGAAGCTTGCTGGGTGGTGAAAGCGAAGCGACTGGCTGCTAACATCCGTTGACTTCTACTGAAAAAGTGAAGCGCTCTGCAGGAGCTGTGTAAAAGCTATTAAAAAAAGATAGACTGTACAAAAATACATGTGATGGTTTTTATGCTGCACAGATGAACAATCCCAGTGAGAAACAAGCCACTTGACTGTAAAGGAAAGTGTTCTCAGCACTTACGAAAGTCAGCAGCAGCAATATTACCCTGAGTGACCATCTGTACTCTAACACATGAAATACAACATATCACCACCAACTCCTTTGTAAGGACCAGAGGCTCGGGTGCTTATGCAAGTCTTTTAAAAACAACTCTTTTCTAGCTGGGTACAGCGGCACAAGCCTGTAGTACCAGCTACTCAGGAGGCTAAAGCAAAAGGATTACCTGAGCCCAGGAAGTCAAGGCTAGAGTCAGACATGGTGGTAGATGCCTATAATCCCAGCACTCAGGAGGCTACATCAAGGTGACCACAAGTTCAAGGCTAGCTTGGGCTACATAATTAAGAACCTGTCTAAATCAATCAATCAATGTAAAACACACCTATAAAACCCCATAATTCTTTTCTACCCCATTTTTCTTTGTTTGCTTTTTTTTCTTTTAATAACTTGGTATCTTAATTTTTTGGCAGTATTGGGATTTGAACTCAGGACTTCACACTTGTTAAGCAGGTGCTCTACCACTGAGCCAAGCCCCAGCCCCCTTCACTCTGGTTATTTTGGAGGTATGGTCTCGCTTCTTGCCCAGGCTGGCCTGGACCACGGTTCTGTTTTACACTTCTTGCCACACCTGGTATGACAGGTGTACATCACCACTTCCGGCTTTTTCCCCGTTGAAACGGTATCTTCTGAGCTTTTTTGCTGGGCTGGCTGGAATTATGATCCTCCCAATCTGTCTCCTGCACAGTCAGGATGACAGGCACTGAGCCCAGCTATTGGTTGAGATGGGGTTGCTCAAACTTTTACCTAGACTTGGCCTCGAATGGAGAGCCTCTCCATCTCAGCCTCCCAAGTAGCTAAGACTACAGGTGTGAGCCACTGGCACCCAGATTTAATTTTTTTTTGAGACAGAGTCTTACTATGGTTTTATGTATGTAACATTTTTAAAATTAGAACTTTTTGTTGTCATTTTTGTTTTGTTTTGAGCCACAATTTCTTTTTGTAGCCCAAGCTGATCTGGAATGCACCATGTACGCAGCTGGCCTGAACTCATGGTCCCCCTGCCTCAGCCTTCTAAGAGCTGGGATTACAGACATGCATCAGCACACCCAGCTCTAGACCATTTTTAACTAGAAGGTAGATTGGTGTATACCAAGAGCGAGGGATAGGAGAGAGGTAAATGTAGTTACAGGACAGCAGCATAAGAAGTGAAGCGAGGAACTACTCAGTAGCTTATGATAGAGAGAGGACACATGAAACCCACGCAGATGAAAAAGCTGAACAGCACACACGCGCGCACGCGCGCGCACACACACACACTAATTAGTACAAGGAAACTGGGGAAATTCAGATAAGATCTATTGTTTATATTTCTGTCACTATCCTTTAAAATTATACCATAGGTTTGCAAAACATTAACATCAGCAAGGTGTGTAAGCGATTTGTGCATCACTTCTATGAATCTATGGTGACCTCAATTAAACCTCTAATTAAAAAACGCGTGCCTCAGAATCCTTGGAATTGAGTAAGTTCTGTGAAGGAGACAAAGGACATGGAGCGAGTGGCGGTGAGGGGGCAACTTTGGGATGGTAGGCATGGGCTCCCGAGCAGGGCTCATAGGAATTGGACCCTAAAGACAGAGGTATCACGGACACCTCTCTGCTTATATGAGGCTTTCTGTGGGAACAACAGCAGAGTGGCAAAGATGGAGCCTGGTCCTCAGTGAGTCCAGGAGACGGGGTCCAGGGCAGTGAGAGCCGGACCACGCTAGAGCTGGGATTTCACGCTAGACCCAGCCCTCGTCACCACCAAGGGGAAGAGTCAGGCTGCAGGAAGCTGGCATGTCTGAGGGGAAGGAGAAAAACCAGCCATGCACCTGCTGAATTCACCACTGTCTGGGGCTGCCCTTGGCCAGAGCTGTGGGCCAGCTCTGACAAATACGTGACAAACACTTGCAAGAGCCCCCAATTAATACACCACGGTGTGTGGAAGAATGCCTGCAGCTCGGGGCAGCTCCACCAGCATGGCAGACCGTGGAGTTGTCATTGCAGGCCTGGAGCTGTCATGGCAGGCTCTGGGATTGTCACGGCAGGCTCTAGGTTGGGTCTTGAGCTACTGGAGAATGTGTGTGTGTGCGTTTTTCTACTAAGGACCAAAAATTTCATCATGCACTTGTTCAAATATGAAGTAGATGAAGTCCTTTAAGTCAATGTTAGGGGGGATAAAGAAGGATGACGGAGGGGTGAATTCAACTATGACATATTTGATCTACTGTAAGAGCTTTTGTAAATGCCACAGTGTACCTCCAGCATGACAATAAAATTAAAAAATAAATACATGCTCAGTTTTCTGCACGAGGCCATCGTTTGTGTGAGGATTTGAGAGCTGGAGGTTGGGAATATGAGTTCGGAGGTAGAGCAATGGCTACAGGGTTTCGCAACTAAAAAGACTTGAGATCAATCCTTTTCTACTTTTCCTAGTGCTGGAGATCAATCCGGGGCCTTGTGCACGCTAAGCAAGCGCTCTACCCTGAGCTACACCCCCAGCACAACTTATTCCAAAGCACTAAAAGTTTTAACCACCTCTATGACTAACTTAAGAATTTTTCTTCTTTCTGAGACAGGGTCTCACTATGTTACCCAGGCTGACCTCAAACTCCCAATTCTTCCACTTAGTCTCCTGAGCTGCTGGGATTACAGTGTGGCCAGCTAGGAACGTTTGATGAACTATTAAAAACTAAAGTTATACATTGGCTGAAGATGCAATTCACAGGTGCAGCACTTGTCCAGCACGTGTGAAGCTTTGGGTTCGATCCCCAGTGCAGCAGGGAAAACAATGATCTATTAAGGTACAAACTTACATATTAAAATCGTGCACTGTTTTCAGCAGCAGTGGGGATCAAACCCAGGGCCTTACATATAGTTGGCAAGCTACCACTGAGTTACATCTACAGCCCTAAAACTGTACAATTTTACACAAAACAATCTCCTTATCACCACCCTAACTTCTTCAGTCACTGACCTATAGACAGAAGCTCACAAGCTATTACAGCAAGGGAATTCACATGAAACTAACAAAAAGGAGAGTCAATGCAGGGGAGGATCCCGGCTGTTACATTCTGTAATATATTTGCACTCACTCTGATACAAAATCGCTGTCTTTAAATGCTTTTCCTGTAGAAGCGATGCACAGACCCTCCCTCCAGCCCCATCCAACAGCAGCACAGTCGCTGAGGAGGCCTTTAATTGTGAGGCACTAGAAGTCTTAATCAATACTGAGTATTAATTACACCATTGAACCACACTGGACAAGCTAGAAAAATGTCTCACCCTCTGATTTAGGAGTGAGGGAGATTTCAGAAAAATAACAGGAGAGCAGCCAGTGTTGATGTCACTGTCACTCTTACTGTCATTTATTGCTAACCTACTATGTGCCAGGTATAACGTTAAGAGCTTGCAGTAGCCTCTAGCTAGCTAGCTAGCTTAACATCCAGTCTTCTTTTCTCCCCCTTTTATTTTATAGTACTGGGGAACTGGGATTGAACCCACAACCTGGTTCATATTTTATTTCTGAGATGGGATCTTGCTAACTTAGCCTGAGCTGGTCTCAAACTCATGATCCTCTTGCCTCTGCCTCCTGAGTAACTGGGATTACAGGGGTGCACCACCACACCTGGTATATTATCCACTTTGTAACAAAACATGATAAAATTTATCTAGCCCTTCTTTTCTCCAGGGCAGAAACATGAATTCTCACTAGAATTCCACCCTGAACTCTGGTGGGCTTCGTGAGGCACACTGTTGGGGAATGTGTGATGGTGTGTTCTGGTGTGAATGTCCTAAAGCAGGAAAATTATTTACAGGTAAGCGATATTTATAAGAAAATCCAATAATATGCAAATCACAGAAGATAGGGATTACCTTCATTAGAAAGGAATTATTCAAAGATTTCACAAGTTCAGTGGCTCTTAGATCTTGCCAGCTAATGAAGTTGTGAAAATGATTTCCCGTTCTCCTAAGAGAGAGAACACAATAAGGTATAGATCAGACGATGTATCGAAGGGCTGCCATGAGAAAAAACGACGCTAGAGGTCACACTGCTTTCCAAATGGGGCTTCGTTAGATGGAGCTGCCTGGTGACTCTGCTTTTTATTAACTGAACAAACTGCATGTCACTTATGAAACTCAAGTATGACATTTTAGATCAGATCCTACCCATAATCTTTTTTTAAAACAAATTTTTATTAGGGTATATTCATGATACCAGGGGTGATTCGTAGTGACAATTCCAATCAAACTTATATTGTGCATTACTTACACCTCCCCCATCGTCTCTCCCTCTCAACCCCCTGCCCGCCCCACTTAAAGCAATTGCAAGAGGTTTCTTAGTTCTGTTTCACCTAGGTATATGAAGTCCAGCTACCATATACTGTCACCTTAATCTCCTTCCTTCACCCTCCTCCCATAATCCTTTTGACATTTCCAAAAACAGAACAAAAGGCATGGAAGGCCCTTGAAGACTTGCTCTACACACTGTGGTTTCTTTGTTTTTTGTTTGTTTTCTTTCTCTGTATACACTTTTAAAAGCAAGATTTAAACAGAGTTGCCAGGCAGGGTGGTGCAGGAGGCTGAGGCAGGTACAGGAGGCTGGTGCAGGTAGGAGGCTGGAGAAGGAGGCTGAGTGCAGGAGCCTCTCAGGAGGCTGAGGCAAGATGATTTTGAGTTCAAGGCCAGCCTTGGCTACATAGCAAGAACTCTGTCCCACAAAGATTAAAAAAAAAAACAAAAACTTTCCCCTTCATTGCACTTATCCTGATTGGCACAATCAGATAAAAACTTCTGACCTACAGAAGATCTAAAATATCACCTGAGCCTATTTCCACACCAGTCACCTTTAGGATTTGCTGAGCAATTGGGAGCCACGCAAGAGAAAGTAGACAGAGCTGAGATACAGAAGAAAACACCCTTCTCCCTGATGTTCCTGACAATCAACCACTGCTATCTACTAATCATTGTCATCTTTTCTTTCCTTTTTGCAGTACAGGGAATTGAACCCAGGACCTCACACATGTTAGACACAGGCTCTGCCACCACGCCACACCCTAAGTCCAAGACTCACTCCCCACTCTGCTTAAAAGTCCACACTCATGGTCACATCCTCACTGGTTTCAGCAAATCTTTATAAGGCAATGTGTGCCAGGAGCTGGGGACAGAGCTGTGAACAGAGAGACATGGCGTCTTTGCCTGATGAATGTACTTTCTATCAGGGAATTCAAAGAAATGGTCACTTGGTTGCTTGCTAACGACAGGGATATGTCCCATGAAGGAGAGCTGCAGTGAGCCGTGGGGGTGTTATGGGAAACCATGTCTGGTCTGGGAAAAGAGGCTGCTCTAAGAACTAATACGGAGCTAAGCTCTGAAGAGTGCAGAGGAATCAAACAGGAAGGAGAACACTCCTGATAAAATGTGCTCTTGTGTGTTCAAAGGTCCTGGGGTAGGACGACGGCTGGGTAGAGGAATTGAAAGGCGAGCATAGGTGAAGAGCAAAGAAGGGGAGCAAATCAGCAGGTGAAAGTGGTATGGTTACAAGACATGCTAGGGAACTGACCTCAGGTGGAGGCAGACAGCCCACTGGTCCCCTAGCACTGATTTCAACAATTAAAGGAGAAGTGACAATATTGTAAATAAGTTGCCTTAAGCTCTTCTAACACTCTACACCTTCCGTGGCTCTCGCTGTATTTTGTGCGCTAAGGAAGATCCACTGACGTTAATGTCACTGCAGAGTAGGAGCACAGAGCAACTGATCTCCCTGTAGAAGGAAATCCCTCGGGCTCGTGTCTCAGTCACCTTTGTGTTCAGTTCTGAACTCCAAAGTCACTGGGTCCAGTTCATGTGACTCACATTTTATCTTACTAGTTGGCACACCCCGCTCTGAGGTTGGCAGAAGTCCCCCGACAGACACAGGAACTAAACAAAACAGCTTATGATTTTTTAGAACAAAATGAATTTAGAAGCAAGATGGAGGAGACAGCATTTAGCTATTTTTCCAGAGAGCAGGCTAAACACATGACTGAGTAAATGTATTTCAGCTGAAGAGCATGAAGAAAACACAAGAAGTGAAAAACGAAATTGATGACAGTGAGCTCCCTGGTTTCGGGGGGTGAGGAGAAAACAAAAGGAAAGTTCTGGGCATCTTAGTCTTCCTGACAGCAAGCAGAGGGAACATGACTGCCTAAGGCCAGGAGGACAGGAATGCCATCGTCACTGGAGCAGGGATGAGGAGGAGCTGCCAGGACTGGCACAAACAATAGATTGTTCCACAGGGTACCACATCTCGTCTCTCTCAGGAGCAGAAGGACTTCCTGCTGGCTCTAAGCTGTGCCTGTCCCTGTCAGGCCTTTGCTGTCTGTGGGAGCTTGTGGATTCTGACAGCGTCACTTAATAAACACCACAGTGGCTTCTCGGGGCCCAAAGAGAAGACTCAGGCTCTGTTATTTCAGTGTCAAAGAAGAATGAGACTTGGCACAGTCCTTCGAAAAATACCCAGATTTCAGTTTCTACAAGCGAAGCATGTCTCCAAAACTCATGGAAGAATACAGACATTTCAAAACAGAACAGCCAAGAACATAAACTCCTGGGAAAAAGTCACCCCTCTGTAACAACAGCCCCACCAGTGAGGAAAGGAACCAAGCACCTAGCAATCTGACTGCTGTGTGCCTTCTATAGGAAGGCAGGGTCCCCCAGGGTCCCAGGAAAGCTATGCTGCCTAACACTGTCACCTTCCTGTCATGGGTGCTATGTTCACCTGGCCCTGAGGAAGGCAATCATTTCCAATAACAGCCTCACTTGTACATTGCACCAATGGGACACATCTAATCAGCCCCTTCCCTGGGACTCTTTCCTGCCCCCACTTCCTGTCATCCACCTCTCAGATTTGCTTTCGTTGGCCAGATTTTTCTTCCCAATCCCTTTCTTTTCTTTGGTGGGGGGAGGGACCTCCTAGACCATATCCTCAGCCTGCTTCTCTTCTCTTACATAATTTCTACCAGAGAGTCCCTCTGCCTCTTGGGACTTCGTCTACACCGGAGCTGTCAACTCAGGCTGACTTGGCAATGCCTGTTAGAAGTCTGTGTTTGTCATAAGAGGGAGAAGTGCCACCAGACATCTGTTGCCAAACATCTATAGTGCCACCGGTTTCCACAACAAAGAATTATCTGGCCCTAAAGATCATCGGTGGCACTGATTAGATCCCTACAGGTAAGTGACTCATTCACTCCCTCCTCTGACACACACGTTACTGCTAAAGGGCGCACTGCCAGCGCACTGGAGCACAGAGGGGGACAGCAGGTGTGGGATCCATCTCCATGTGTCCTGCTTTGAGAGGAAGAGCACTAGGTAGAGAGCTGTGTCCTGCCTCAGTCTGTGTCAGGCCAGTGTTCTAGCCACCTCTATCCAAAACCAGAACTTTACCAACTTCTCTGCTTCCCCACCTTACCCAACCTGCTCTCCTCTTGTATTCTGCAAAACTGCTATCACAAGCTGAACAGAAGACTCAAATTTCTTCCTTTTGCCTAAATCTAAATCAAAAGCCAGGTCCTCGTGGAGTCACTCTAACAGTATTTTTCAGACTCATCCCCCTTCCCTCCTCCCATGTTCTCTGGAGTCTAGTGCTTTGTCACAAAGGCAAATTTTACAGTTCTTTTTTCCTGGGCATTTTGATTTTGTTATTGTTTTGCGTTTTTTGTTTTTTTTTGGCAGTACTGGGGTTTGAACTCAGGGCTTTGCACTTGCTAAGCAGGTAGGTTACCACTTGAGCCACGCCCCCAGCCCTTTCTACTTGAGTTTTCTCAGATAGGGTTTTGTAGTTTTGCCTGGGGCTAGCCTTGGATCAAAATCCTCCTACATATACCTCCCACATAGCTGGGATTATGGCTGTGCACCACCATGCCTGGCTTCTTGATCATTATTTTATGTAAGTCAAGCACAGGTGACTTGCAATGAGTACATAAACCAGAAAGGAAGTCCATTTTCATTTCACAAATTTAAAACTCGCCGAACAGGTTTCACAGCAGGGAATTCACTGAAACATAAACCCAGGGAAGGAGCTTGATCCACAAAGAACTTACTTGTTCCACGTAATAAAAGTTGCTCTCTGCGTTGATATGCCAAGGCCAACAATTTGACTCATCTGTGCTCCTGCAGCTAAAAGTAAAGACAGATAAAACACACATTTAAAAGCCGGTGACGTTTTCTCATCTATATTACAGTACAAAGAGAAATTATTCCATATAATCTTTAAGAAAAAACACTTGGGATTAATATTTTAATAAAACAATAGGAGCCAAAAGTAAAACATTACTAGATGATTTGTAGTTTTGTTTTGTTCTTGGTGGGACTGGAGGCTTTTGGGGTGTTTCTTTTGGAGTACTGGCACTTGAACTCAGGGCCTACACCTGGAGCCACACACTCCAGCAGCCCTTTGTTGTGATGGGTTTTTTTTGAGATGATAGGGTCTCTTGAGTTGTTTTGCCTGGTCTGGCTTTGAACCACAGTCCTCCTGATCACTGGCTCCTGAGTAGCTAGGATTACAGGTGTGAGCCACCAGCCCAAATGAGACTGGAGTTTTTAACTCAGTGCTTCGTTCTTGCAAAGCAGGTGCTCTACCACTTGAGCCACACCTCCAGTCCATTTTGCTCTGGTTATTTTGGAGATGGGGGTCTTGAGAACTATTTGCTCAGGCTGGCCTCGAACTGTGATCCTCCTGATTTCAGCCTCCCAAGTAGCTAGGATTATAGGCGTGAGCCACTGCACCTGGTGATTTGTAGTATTTTAACTTAAAAGGAAACACGATATCCTTATATTAAGAAACACAGCCTCACCAGGCAGCTCACGCCTGTAATCCTACTCAAGAAGCAGAGATTAGGAGGATCACGGTTCTGAGGCAGGATAGATAGATGAGGAGACAAGGAAATTTATTGTTTTAATAAATATTTAAATGGCCAAACTCTGACATTGGAACAAGGAAGTAAAGGCTGGAGAGCTGGAGCAGCTGGCCCTCTCATTTCCTTTTAGTTGCCACGTTACAGGAACAGGGGACCGAGAGGAGCTACCTGCTCTGTTCTTTGAGGTTAATGAGCTCCTAGGCTCCTTGGATGGGTGGAGAAGAACCCTGTGTACCTGAGGGAAGCTCAAAGCATCCTGTTGTCTCTGGGATTTGGCTGGGCCAGGACGACCCTTCCTGTTTTAACAACCATCTCAGGCACCCAGATCCACCATCTTTGACCACGTGCATTCCCTCAGCTCTCAGCTATACAACTAAGAGGTGGGGGCCACCATTTTGAATCCTTGCCCCTATTTCCTTCGTGGGGAACAGGAAATGTTTCTCTCTTTTCCTCTCCCCCTCTCCCTTGTCTATACTTCATCCTGTAACACTAAAATAAATTCTTCCTAAAACTTTCACCTGTGAGACTCCTTGTGAGACACCTTGAAATTCTTTTCAATGTTTGTGGATCTCAAGGACCTGAGATTTTGGATGGAAACTGGGAAGCTGTGGGAGCCCCTTATCCATCCTCCCTCAGGTGACGGTTCTAAGCCAGCCTCAGACTAATAGTTTATGAGACTTTATCTCGAAAAAGCCCATCACAGAAAAGGGCTGGTGAGGGCACCTGCCTAGCAAGACTGAGACCCTAAATTCAAATCCCATACCGCAAAAAATAAATAAAGAAAGAAAGAAACATAGCCTCTCTTTTTTTTTTTCTTTAAGTGTTGGGGAAAAAAAACTACTAAGAGCAAGTCAGATTGTGTTTTGTGTTTTTTTCCTGATAATACTAAAAATCTGGAACCAATTTTAGGGGATGATGGATCATAACAGCCCAGCATTATAGTGGCCACGAAGTAAAACCCTGGGGAAAGGAGGACGGGATCAGACAACAAGGAATGAAAATAAAAACATGAATTGTTTTGGTTTTGATTTTTTTGTGGTGCTGGGAATCAAATCCAGGGCCACATACATGGGAGGCAAGCACTGCACCACTGAGAAACACTCCCGGCCCAAATCAGGAGGTGGTATTTTTACTACTTTTTTTTTTTTTTTTTTTTTTGGCGGTGCTGGGGTTTGAACTTAGGGCCTTGAGCTTGTTAGGCAAGCGCTCTACCACTTGAGCCACACCCCCAGCCCTTTGTTTGCTTGGGGCTTTTTTTGTAATCGAAATTTCTTAAAATATAGAAGTGCAATTGCTTTTGTACTTTCTGTTTTTGGGGGGGGGGGTGGAGGGAATAGAGTTTGAACTCGGGGCTTTCTCATGTGCAAAGCAGGTGCTCTACCCCTTGAGCCACATCTCCAGCTCATTTTGCTCTGGTGATTTTGGAGACGGGGGTCTCATGAACTATTTACCTGGGCTGACCTTGAACCACGATCCTCCTCCTGACCTCAGCCTCCCAAATAATCAGGATTACATTCATGAGCTACAAGCACCCAACTGTTTGTAATTTTTAAGTTGGTCTAGCTATATAACCCAGGCTAGCCCCAAACTCTCAATCCTCCTTAGTGGTGGGATTACAACTATGTGCCACCACACCAAGCTTGTAATACTTCTCTAAGATCAATTTATCCTACTGGGAAAATTTGGGACAACTTCAATTTGAGCACTGATGGGTCATCCCTATAACAGTATTTCTTGCAAAAATATTTAGGTGAAATGTAATCACATTTGACAATACCCAAATGAAGTTTGGTACACCAATGTGGCTGTACTTTTGAAACCTGTCCATATCACAGAGGATACGCAACAGACAATGAAGGAGCCCAAGCAGACTGGTAGCTACAGGCAAGGCCCCGAGCAGGTGGGTTCCAGATGGAAAACATTATCGTGCACTGAAATAAGAATTTTGAAGACTGGGTGCTGGCAAACAGTGTGACAGCCACGCTGCGGTTATGTAGCCAGGCACTCCTTTGCTTTGGAGATAGTGCCTTAGAATTAAGGAATGACGGTTTTATGACAACTAACCCTCAGATAGCTCAGGAAATAAAAGTTCGCAGAATTGTAAGCAATACTGAGTATGTTTGACTCTAGGAGAAGAGTATATCTGTGTCTGCTGTACTGTTTTCGCAAATTTTGTTTCTGGTTTTAAGTTTTGAAATATTACAAACTAAAAAGATGAAAAGAAAACAATTCAGCCAGAAAAATGTGCAACACTTTTTTAAAGGTTTTTTTAAAAAGACAAGGTCTGGCTTTGTAGCCGTGGCTGGCCTGTACTATGTACTGCAAAGCCCAGGCCAGCCTGGAACTCAAGATCCTCCTCCCTCAGCCTCCTGGGTGCTGCCGGGATTAAAAGCGTGCGCCACCACACCCAGTTTGAAGACATTCTTAAAGAGCTAAGTGGCCACTGCTGTGGTTAGGAGAGCACATTGCAACAAGTGGCCACACAGGAAAACCAGAAGAACCTTATTTTGAACTCCTGAGAGTAGGACGTGCACATGGTAAGTGCTTGCATCCCCCGGGAACTCTGCACCCACCAGGAAATCAGATCAGCGTAGCTACAGCCTAGAACGAAAGAAGACAAACCAGGGGCGTAATCGCTTCTAGCCTGCCTGACAAAGTGGTTCAGCGCATACCACAAACTTCCCCTGAAGAATACTGGGGAACTGTGACCCCTCCAATAAAATACTGCTCGTATATTGTAACTTTAAAACCCCACAAATTCTACCGAAACCTGAGGAACACTATTACAAACAAAATACACCCCAGGGACTGTTGCTATTTTTTTAAATCCTTTACCTTTGACAGCGCCTTTTACCACAGCAACAAACTGAGTCCAGAGGGCATCAGGGTCAATTTCAACCCAGCCAGGCTGAGGATACAGACTTTCCACCTGGTTAGGGAAATAGAGGTTTAGCCAAAAGAACATTAGGTTGAGTGAGCAGTGTCTTAGTGTTCAGTTAAGATAATTAAAACAAGATTTTATTTATCTAATTATTACTGTTAAAATTGAGGAGAGGGGAGTGTCACTTACAGATACTCAGCATGTACACCCCACCCCCAAGAAGAAAAAAATATGCAATTAAAAAGGGCTATACACCAACACCAAGACAGCAGTAGTTTCATGACTTCACACAAGATTGGAACCTGTTTTATCTTTAATTTTTTTAAGTTTTCCACAATGAAGATGTTTCAAAGTAAGAAAAATGTCAGACTTTTAAAAAAATTAAAAATAAAAAAAATTAGAGATACAGCTGAGACTATGGTACTAAGCACACTCCACCTGTGCCTCACACTGCATACAAACATAAAACAGAAGCAGAACGAATGGAACAGTTGTGTGTGTGTGCGTGTGTGCACGCGCTGGGCCTCTAATGTACAGCTGCCCGGCTCATGCCTGTAATCCCAGCTACTTGGGAGGCTGAGATCGGGAGGATCACAGTTTGAAGACAGCCCAGGTAAACAGTTCAGAAGACCCCGACTCCAAAACAGAGTGCCTGCTTTGTAAGTGCAAAGTCCTGAGTTTAAACCCCAGTCCCACCAAAAATAATAACAATAGAAGTATACGGTTGCATATAGATTGGGAAATAGAAAGGAATCCAAAACCCATGAGGGCTGGGGAGGTGGCTCAGTGACAGCGCGCTCCCCAACAAGGCTCAGCAACAAGGCTATGCAAGCGGAGGACCTCATGCTAAGTGAACTGAGCCAGGCTCAGACACACAAAGGTCGCATGTTCTCTCTCGTACATGGAAGACAGGTCCGAAGATAAACAAACATGTACACAAAGACAAGCATGATCATTCACAAAGTCAGATGTGGAACATGCCTGAGACGGTGGAACTGCTCTATGGAACTCGGGGAAAGCGGGAAAGGAAAAGAGAAAGATAGAGCATCAGTAATGTCGTGAAACATCACATCTGTGAAGGTGGAGGATATTAGGGTGTGTACTGAAAGCTGCTGAAAACTGGGGTGGGAGGTAAAGGGAGAGGGCGGGCAATGGAAGGGGTTGAATGGACCAAAGTAAAGCACACCCACAGAGGGCATATACTGAGGCGTCCCTTTGAACATCAAATTAAATATTAATAACGAAAACAAACCAGGACTGTAAAATAGGAGAGGTGAAGGAAGGAGATTAAGGTGACGGTATATGGCAGATTGACATCATACAACAAGAAAACCTCTTGCGATTGCTTTAAGTGCGGTGGGGAGGGGCTGAGGGGGAGCCACGATGGGGGCGATGTAAATAGTGTACAACATAAGTCTAATCGGAATTTCCACTATGAATGCCCCATAACGAATATATCCTAATAAAAAATTTTTATATAAAAAAAGAAAGGCTACACAAGGCTCCAGGTTCCAACCCCAGCAATATGAGAAACCAAAAAGTAACTGTACACCACTAAACTGGTGGTGAGTTTCCAAAACACTTTTCTTCTGACAACCCCTGGTCTGGACTCAAGGCACCCTGAAAATTGGAAGCGGGTTCCTGGAGAAGCTCTATTGCCTGGGCCCAAAGAACAAGAAAGGGGACTCCTAACAAGAAGCGATGACGTGCTCCCACCCCTGGTTTTCTGGGATCCCCCTCCCCTTTTGCCCCAGGCTATCCCTCAGTGAGGACAGTGGTGTGCCTGGGCGTCAACAGCAGCTAGGTCACTGAGGGAGGTAATGTGTCCTCACCCAGTGGCAAGCTGTGGTCCCAGGATGTGAAGGGACCCTCTCCTGCTTTTCATCTGCTTCTGCTCCCCAGGCCCAGACGTACCCAGAAGAACGAGGTGAAAAGAGCCCCAGATTTCAGGCCAAAACCTTAGACTGGGAGGCTCAGCAAGTCAAAAAGCTGCCAGGAAAGTCTCAGGGAGAGAGGAACTTGGGGAAGACACCATAGAAAGCTGTGAGTGAACTCCTAGCTCCCACGGAAATTGAGCCTGTGTGGACAGAACCCTAAGCAACATCCCCACGACATTAAGAGAGTCAAGGGACAGGCCACTGCCCAGGTCCCAGACTGACCACTCGGCTGTGCACACAGCCAGGGCTGAGCTGAACAGGAAGACAAGGTTAGGAACAGAGTCACTATTGAGCCACTGTCCACGCACGGCCGAATCAGTGTCTGAAGCCAATATTGCCTGCTAAAAGAAAACGCCAACATCTTTCACAAGATCTACCCAAGACCCTGAGTCTCTTGACTTAATGCTCAAAACATCCAGGATACAACCCAAAATCCTAAGCATGTGAAGAATCAGAAAAATCTCAAAAAGGTATCGAGAAATACCAAGGCCAAGAGGACACAGTGCACACTTTTGAAACAAAAGGACAGTCTCAGCAAAGACAGCCACAGTAATCACTTCACTAGGTGCATGTGTATCAAGATAAGGGCGTCAGACATTGTGTTACACACTCTAAATAGACATATACATAATTCAAAAAAGAAAGAGAAGGCTAGGGACGTAGCTCAAGTGGTAGAACGCCTGCCTCGCAACTGTGAGGCCCTGACTTCAAGTCCAGAACTGCCAAAACAAAAAAAAGAAACAGAGTCCCAAAAGAACTATCTCTATACCTCTTATGACTGGACAGGTTCACATACAGCTGGGATGACATGCACACGCCATGCCCAGTTTGGGGGTCTTGAGAACTTTTTGCCTGGACTGGCTTTAAAACAAGATCTTCCCAATCTCCACCTCCCCAGATTATGCCTTATGCCCGGATTACAGGTATGAGTCACTGCATCAGGCTAGGCTCCATGTCTTAAAGGTTCCACCACCTCTCAACAGGCCACCCTGGAGATCAAACTTCCAACAAATGAAGCCTTGAGAGAAAACTAAAACTATATCCAAACGTGTCACCAGAGCGAAATCTGTCCTCTAAAAAAGAGAACCAAACCAAAACCAGATCGAGGATAAAATCAAAGTTAAGATGTCTTTTGCTGAATAGACACACAAAAAAAAGAAGCCAACAAGCAGAGTTCACTTTTCAAGGCGATCCAGCGGGTACAGCACTGGTGACCTGAGGTGGCGTTCTGTTCTGTTCTTCCAACCATCACCTTTTATGGCTTCACACAAAAGCCTGGCATTCCAATGGGGAACATGACAAATTTTGTTCATTTTCAAGACAAAGTATCAAATATTCACACAGGGCTTCCAACATGGGACAGTCTTCTTGCATGTAATGCCGCTATTTAAGTCTCTAAGAAAGACTTTGTTAAAATACAAATTATTGAGGCTGGGGACACAACTCGGTGATATAATGTGTGCGCTGAGCCCCTGGCCTCAGTGTTGGGATTTCAATGTTAACTAAAGGCCAACACAGCCCATCTTCTTCAGAGCTCTAAAAAGTGGTCTCTTTTTGGGGTTTTTTTTTGAAGTGATAATATGAATCAAATTCTACACTGAGGTTTGTTGTGGTGGTGGTTTTTGAGACAGGCTCTTACTATGTAGACGAGGCTGGCATAAAACTCATCAAACTGATCCTCCTACCTCCACCTCCCAAACGCTAGGATTATAGGCACGTACCATCATGCCTGGCTAGGTTTTTCTTTTTCACTTGAGAAAAACAAGTTTGTGTCTAAGTCACAGAACCCATGAAGTAAACGGAATTCCTGACACTTTAATTAACTGTAAACCATTTATTTATTCTGTACCCATGAGGGAATGAATGAGAACTAAGTAGCAATGTAGACCAAGGAGACTCGTTCCCAGTAAAGAAGAAGTTATCTCATCTTTTCTTTTTTGAGGTATGGGGATTGAACCTAGGACTTAGCTAGGCAAGTGCTCTACTACCAAGCTACACTCCCAGCAACAAAGAAAGTGGCCCACGATTTTTAAGATACAATTGAAGTAATCTGAGTTTTTCATTTATTTGGACCCCTGCAGTACCAGAACCACGCTTTTAAGACATCCCATTGGAAACCCCCACCACCATCCTAGAGGCACTTCATCCTTGAAAGACAGATTTGTCCTATTTTCCCTACATTATTTTCCAGACACCACCACAGTTTAGACTACAAGCAGGCCACCCTAGCTTTCCCACCACTCACCACACTCTTGATTCATCTCTGGGATTCTTTCCATCACTTCTAAAACAACTAGTGATTTGCCCCAAATTATACTGGGACCTGCAGCTGTATTTCCTAACAATTCCTTTCTACATTTGGTTCCAAATGCTCCCATTAAATCTCTGCTTAAACAAAAGTGCTTTGTGTCGACAATAAGAAAGGAGTGTAAAAAAATGCAGTGTTGTGTTTGTGATAAAGACATATCATAAGATATGAGCACAGTTAGTCACCGGAGGACGGTGTCTGCCTTTCATGTCCTTTCAGGTTGGGGTTGGGAGAGGGTGGCTGGGCAGTATTGGTACACAGCTAGCCAGACAAGGATCCAGCAATCTGTCCTGGTACAAAATTCTGAATGGAAGTCAGCTGTGTCCTAAATCAAATGCTCAAAGCAGTCACTGCTATGTGCACCCCAGCTGGACAGGCTCCCAGGCATTGCTGAGATGAAGAGCAGACCATGGGGAGTGGGAAGAAGGGTGGGGCACTGAGGAAAAGGGGAGTCCAGTGCTGCAGGGAACAGCTTAGGTAACTGATGGTGTCTGTCCTCCCTAACCCAAAAAAGATTTTGGTATTGAACACAGCAAATAAGAGGATGGAGTTCAGAGGTAGAGCATGGATTTGATCTCCAGTACCCTAAGAAAGAAAGGCAAGGAGAAAAGAGAAGGGCGAGAGAGAGGGGGGAGGTAGGGAGGGGAGGGGAGGGAAAAAAAGGAATAGAATTGCCATGCACAGTGGTGCACACCTGTAATCCCAGATGTTTGGAGGTGGAGATCAGGAGGATCAAAATCTGAGGCCAGCCCAGGCAAAAAGCTGGCAAGATCCCACCTCAACCAATAAGCAGGAGCTTCTCCCAGCTATGTAGGAGCCATGGGTAGGGGGATCACAGTCCCAGGCCAGCCCTGGGCAAAAAAAATGTGAGACCCTATCTGAAAAATAACTAAAGCCAAAGAGAATGGGAATGTGGCTCAAGTGGTAGAGTGCCTGCGTAGTAAGTGTTTAGGTCCTAAGTTCAAACCTCAGTACCGCCAAGAAAAAAAAAAATCCTTAAGAACACGGAAAGCAATCAACATGGTTTCTGGTGGCCTGACGATTGCACAGAATCAACACTTCATTCAAATGGGCACAGGAGGGTTTCACCCTGCTGGCTGCTGACCAATATTATCAACAGGTCAAGGTCTTGCTAGCAACCACCAAGCACAGACATTCTGACATTCTTACGACTCCTCAAAGCGCGGGGGGAAGTAATGACAACACGGCGTCCAAAACTTGTCCAATACCTCCAGCATCCATGGAAGGCGGCTGCTCGTGTGAGGACCCGGCACTTTCAGGAATAGTTAATAAAGATCACAACCGACGGACAGACAGACAAATTTAAACTATCAGGATCTGAGAACTTAAAATTATAAATTAAGACAGTGGAGGGGGAGGGTAAATCAAGGAAGTGCCGAGCAAGTTACCAACCACGTTATGGCTGGAGAGCCCTGCCAGTCACCTCAGTGCCACCCAGGTGAGGCCGGACAGATGCGTTCCCAGATGGCAGGAAGCCTGGGCCACCACATGCCGGAGCCCCTGCAGCCCAGCTCGGCAGGGAGCGCAGCGCGGAGCCCGGCCCGGGAGAGAACCCGAGCGGGGACCCGGCCGGGCAGCGCGCGGCGCTCAGGGCGCGGGGCTCGTGGGCGCTGCAGGTGGCCGCGTCCAGGCTGGGTAGGGCGGCCCCGGTCCCAGGTGCTGGGCGACACCCAGCTCCTCGCCCAGAGCCCGCTTCCCGGTCACCTTCTGCTCGCTGGAGCCGCGGACCCGCATCGTCCGGTCATAGACGTGGCAGCGGATCACAGAACTGCCCACGTCCAGCCCCAGCACGAATCGCTCCGGGCGCTGCTTCTCCAGGCCACTGGGCAGCCCCGTCATCCCGGCACTGCGCGCCGCTCAGCCGCCGCCACCGCCCGAGCGGGCGCGCTATAAACGCCAGCGCCTCCCAGACCCAGCGCGCCCTGCCGGGCCGCCGCGCCCGCCCCGCCCCGCTCCCCGCCCCGCCCCTCCCCGCTCCGCCCCGCTCCCCCGCCCCTCCCCGCTCCGCCCCGCTCCCCCGCCCCTCCCCCGCTCCCCCCTCCCCCCAACTCCCCCGCCCCTCCCCGCTCCCCCTCCCCACTCCCCCGCTCCCCCGCCCCAGCCACGCCCACCCCACGAGACTCCAATCGTTCCGTCCCGACGTGGTCACGCCCATGGCGTCGTGACGTCACGATCGCGCGCCGGGCGGCCACGTGGAAGCGTGAGGCGATCTGGCCATAGTGCGTGGACCTGGCCCTGATTAACTCCCGGCCTCCCTGGGCAGCGGCACTTCTAAACCTTTATAGGAACTCTATTAAGAAAAGTCTTTAGGAATCTCTTGAGAAAAGGCAGGGCTGGCGGGGTGGCTCACGTGGCACGGTGCCTGCCTAGCAAGCGTGAAGCCCCGAGTTCGAACCCTTTCTCTGCTGCTAATGGCCGCCTCCGGACACGTGGCCCAAAGGTGCCAGGACTGTGCACACTTAAGTAAGAGGTTTTCTTAGGGCTCTGGTCCTGCAGCCCGCTGGCCTTGCGGGGTAGGGGGGCTGATCTGTAGGGGGTGGTGATGCGATCGTCCTCCACTTCTCCACCCATGTGAAATTATCAGAGTAATGCGGATCCGTGCTTTTTGTGCAAACGTTTCGTCGTTTTAATTATCATTAAAAACTGAAACACTGATTTTCAACCAAATCATTCTTTTGGTCAGATTGGCCTGTTAATCTTTTTGTTTTTCCACGGATTAGACCAAATTGGTTTTCTGGCCATATAACTTGAAGCCTGAACGTACACGTTGCTTTGTCGGTGCCCAGCAGTATCCATTTCTTCCAAATGACCTCAGACCTTCCTTTACTGGTACTGACCATTCTAGTCATGAGTGTGTGTGGGTGGGCGTGAATTCTAGCATTGTAATCTGAAATAAATGACTAATAGTCATGTACTGGTCACAGTTCTCCAGTGAAAGAGAACCAATACAAGAGGGAAAGAGCCAATAAGGAATTTAATGCACATAATTGTGGGACCTAGAAGAAATTTAATACACGTGATGTGGGAACTGGTAAGTCCTGGAATTTCTTTGGGCAGTACTGGGGTTTGAACTCAGGGCCTTGCAGCTGCCAGGCAGTCACTCTACCACTTGAGCCATGTCCCCAGCCCTATTTTCTTTCCGTACTTTTCAAATAGGATCTACAGTTTATGCCCAGGTGAACATGGACCATGATCCTGTGTACACCTTGGGGTAGGTAAGGTGACAGGCACACACCACGGTGCCCAGCTTTTTAAGGGTGAGATGGAGTCTCAAGGACTTTTTGCCTAGGCTGCTCTCAAGCTGCTATCCTTTGATGGCCCCCTCCTAAGTAGCTAGTATTACAGGTGTGTGCATCCACCCCTGGCTGAATCGTGGAGATTTGTAGGGTTCCTGTGTTGCTTAAAGTTGTCCCTCTCTGGGGAACCTGTCTGCCATTAAGGCTTTCCACTAATGAAGAGGCTTACTCACATGGGCGGTCATCTCCTGTACCAGAGTCCACCGATCGAAATGTTAATCGCATCTAAAATACCTCCCCAGCACCACTGCTTGACCAAATAGCTGAGCTCTCACGCAGTGAGTCTAACCAGCACGAAGTACCACACCATGCCTCTTCAGAGGTGACTTTGTGACCCTTCTCATAAACTCAGATTAATATTATCGAAGAATCATGGACTGTGAACACAGGGTTCTTAAAAACCACTTACTCTGGTGTTTTTAAGCTGTTTTCAGATGTTGAACAAATTTGAAACTGATAAATGCTGTCATCCAAAAAGTTGTTTTTTTTTTTTTTTTTTTTTTGCGATACTGGGGCTTTAACTCAGGGCCTTCACGTTGAGCCTCTCCACCATCCCTTTTCTATGATGGGTTTTTTTGGGATAGGGTCTTGAGAACTATTTGCCCAGGCTGGCTTTGAACCTTGATCCTCCTGATGTCTGCCTCCTGAGTAGCTAGATTACAGGTGTGAACCACCAGTGTCAGGCCAAAGAAGATTCTTATACAGGCAAAATTTTGCACACCACTCCAAGTGTTAAGTGTTCAGTGAACTAAACATGAAGATCTCATAACAAAAATCTGGAACAGATTTTCCCAAGTGGGGAGACTGTCACCTAAAAGCAGCCTTGAGACACAGAGGGAAACCGTTTCTTCCGGGTTCACAGTTCCGTGCTAGCTCCTCTGGCCCTGCTCTGCCATTAGAGAAAGGACTACGTGGGCCACTGGGCATAAGGTTCAGTGGCTTCCAAATGCCCTTTGCTATTGGGGTAGGTCAGTGTGCATTTGACCTAGGGGTAGACAGAATTAGGACACCTAGTAGCCACAACGAACTTGTGACATACAGCAGGTTCTTGTTCACTCACAGCCCCCAAAGCCTGTGGAAATCAACAGTCCTGGTCTGAACATTTATAATAATTTAAAAAAACTCCCCTTCCAGATGTGTTGAAAGAGTTGATGGCACATAACCCAATTTCCAGGAAAGTTCTCCCATTTCCCAGTAGGGATTAGCTCAGTTTCTGCAAACCCCAATAAAAACTTAAAATCCTAAGATGGTAGGGGCAGCTGTTCACTCTCATCATGAGAGGGTCCTTTCTCTTTGCTTTGTGATAGTAAACCTTCTCCGGCTACGTTCCCTCTGTGACCATCATTGAATTCTTCTTCAGTGAGACCAAGAACCTTCTGGCCTCTGGACCTTGTGCCCCGATCCAGTGACATCTCAGCTGCCATCACCTGGTGGCCACAAACTTTCACCTGGCCTGGCTTCTGCTTCTCCAATTCTGGGCTTGGCTGCACTCCCAGGCCCTTTCCCCACTGCTGTCACTTCTTATATAAATTCTTACACTTGATCCTCTTTCAGAAGCCCCAGGATTATAGTTTGATGTACCAGCCTGCCTCCCGCACACTCAAGAAACTTGGATCACAAAATATGTGAAGGTCACCGTTCCTGCCATGCCCTGAATGGTGCTTCAGGACCAAGCCCAGATTCCTTGACACCCTCCTTCCAAGGAAACTAGTCAGTGTCCCTGTCTTCTAAGGTGACTTAACTGTGCCGTGGGACAGAGTTGCAAAGACAACATACATTCCCAGTCTGCTTTGCCAGGGCTCTGAGAGGTCCTGGGACCTAGTTGTCACCCCAGCGTTCTCACTACTCCTCAGGTGACTCCTGTGGGGATTGGCTCCATCATGTTTCAGTGTTGATTTCCGCTTTGAGACAGTGATCTTCTTAAGGGCGGACACTGGGCCTTCTTCCTTTATTTACTTACTTATTTGCCTCCAAGGCACAGAAATACTCAGTGACTGAATGAAAAACTAGCTAGTGGCCAGGTGCCTGTACCCTGCCTACTTGAAAGGATGAGATCTAGAGAATCACAGTTCAAGACCAGTCCAGGCAGAGTTAATGAGACCCCATCTCAACCAACAGCTGGATGCTGTGGGGCACCCTATCATCCCAAGCTACATGGAGGCTAAGATTGGAAGGATCATGGTTCCAGGCCAGACTGGGCAAAAAAGTTTTTGTTTTTTTTTAATTTTTTTGCGGTACTGGGGTTTGAACTCAGGGCCTACACTTTGAGCCACTCCACCAGCCCTTTTTTGTGATGGGTTTTTCAAGATAGGGTCTCAAGAACTATTTGCCCGGGTTGGCTTAGAACTTCAGTTCTCCTGATCTCTGCCTTTGAGTAGCTAGGATTACAGGAGTGAGCCACTAGTGCCTGGTGCAAAAAAGTTTTTGAGACTTCATCTTAAAGGGAAAAAGCTGGGTGTGGTGGCAGGTACTTGTAAAAGAGAAGAGTTTGCAGCCCAGACCAGCTCAGGCAAAAAGCAAGACCCTATCCCAAATAACCAAGTGTGGTTCAAGTGGGAGAGCGCCTACCCAGCAAGCATGAAGCCCTGAGTTCAAAGCCCAGTACTGGTAAAGAGAAAAAAAAACACAACACTAATTAGTATGTGCACATCCGTCATCTTCTACATCACTTGGCCACAAGACACAGGGTGCTGAGCCTTTCCTAATCCCCACACTAATCTGGGAACATTGTCATATGGCCAAGGCACAGACTGTCCAGCCTGTTGGGGAGGCCTGGAGCTGGGCTGACTGCCTGGAGTACACACAGGAACCTGAAGCCACCTCTGGGCTCTGGACTTGTTTTGTGAGCTCAGCCTGCTTCAGAGCGGGCTCCTGCCTTGGTGCTGATTTTACTGTGTCTGAGCCTCAGCTGGGTCCCACTGAGGGAGGCAGATGAACCATGAAGTAAATGAAGCTGGTGAGGCAGGGACCTCGCCAGCATGGCTCCCTGCCAAGACTCCAAGAACCCTAGCAAACTCTTCAGAGTCTATGGCTCACATCATTTGATTTTTTTCCTCCACTTTGTTTGAGACAGGACCTCACTTTGTAGCCCAGGCTGGCTCGGAACTTATGATGATCTGCCTCAGCCTCCTGAGTGCTGAGATTACAGGCATGCAGCATCACACCTGGCTGCAAAGCTGTAGCTTTTGAAAAATGAGATGTTTTTTGTGTTCATTTTCTGAAAGTGGGCCTCTCAAATTGTACCAGGTTTAGGTCCCACAAAACCCGCATTCCTTCCCCCTAATGTCGTGTTCAGAAATTTCTTCTTTGCTAAAGCCTGATTCTCAGTTCTGGACACCCAAGTGGTGGTCCAGACTCACTCCAAGGAGTGGAACCCTTCACTCTTCATCTGAACCTCTCAATTCCGACCCCAGCTGAGACTGAGCCAGTGCCGCACAACTCTGAGTATTACGGTGTAAAGAGCTGGCTCCCCCCTGGGGCCAACGCTCCAGGCAGGCTACCCTAAGGTCCAGCCCACACCCTGTCCTCACCACTGCTCCCCTG